TGTCTTCTGTGGGAAACAAATAGATGGGTTTTGTTTTTTTAATCCAGCCTACTCATCTATGATGTTTGATTGATGAGTTTAAGTCACTTACATTCACAGTTAATATGAATAGGTGGTAATTTTGTCCTGTCATTTTAGCAATCGGTTGTTAATTGATGTCTTCTGTTGTTATTTTACTGGGATATTCTTCACATTTGGTGGGTGCTGTTCCTCTTTGTCAAGAGAACATCTTTAAGTATCATTTGTAGGGCAGGCTTGGAAGAGGCATATTCTTTTAACTTTTTTTTACTGTGGAAGAATTTTATTTCATTTTCAGAAAAAGGGAAACTTTACTGGGTATGTTATCCTGGGCCAACATTTTTTTTCTTTTAGAATCTGGAATATGTTGCTTCATTCTCTTCTTGCCTGTAGAGTATCCTGTGAGAGGTCTCCTGTGAGTCTGATTGCCATTCCTCTGTATGTCCATTGATTTTTTTTTTCACATGCATATTTAGGATCTTCTTCCTTATGTTCGATTGAAAACAGCTTGATATGTGTCATGGTAAAGATTAGTTTTGGTCAGCCCTGTTGGGAGTATTAAGAAAGAATTTCCCAATTCTTTATCTAATTAGGGAAGTTTTCCCTTATTATTTCATTAAATACACCTTTAATCCCAGCTTCTCTTTCTGCACCTTCTGAGACTCCCATAACTCTTATATTTGGCCTGTTAGGAGTATATTCAGTTCTTGAATCCTTCTTTTAGCTTGACCCAGCTCTGCTTCCAGCTTTTTGTTTGTTTTCTCTGGTGACAGGAAACATCTTTCAATTCTAAGATTCTTCTGCTTCATTCATTCTATTTTGGAGACTCTCCATTGTTCTTTTACTTTGCTCCACTATATTCTTCATTTGTGATATATCAGCTTTCATTTGATTTATTTCCTGTGTGACATATTCCTTAAATTCCTTGAATTCCTGTATTATGTTATAAGAAGTTTTATAACAAGTGTTTTGAATTCTGTATCGCCCATTTTCTCAATGTCTTTCTCAGTTAACTCTGAAGTTGGCATAGGGTTTTTCTCCTTTGCAGGGAAGTCTTCAATAATATTCATTGAGCCTTTGTCTCTTTTGCTCTTGATCATTGCACTTCTGGTTAGCAGAGTCTTCTCTTTTGGTGCAGGTTTCTAAGCTGTGTCACCCACAGGTCTGCAGTTTGTTTTTACTTATTGCAGTTGGTACATGGCTATTTGCAGTCACTTGTGCCACTCCGTCCAGCGAGTTCCAGGTCTGGGTTCTTACGTTATACTTCCACCATGATCTCCATAGCCCTGCCTCCTGGGTTACCACTTTCCACTTTCTGTGGTTTTGTGCTGAGGCTGCACTGTTGTCTGTACAACCTTTCTCCCACAACCTGCTAGAGCAGTTCCCAGGATTAGGAAGACACCAGGTGTCCTATATAACTAGGTTGTTGGTGGTGCTGATCTTGCCAGAACCTGTTGACCGTTAGGTTTGAGGGCTACCTGGACCTATCTTGGGTGAAACCCGTAGGATGCCACATTGTTGCAGTTCACTGAGCCAGAAATGAGTTCACTCCCAGCTCAGTGCATGCACAGTACAGTCCATAGCCTTTGCCTCCCTATACAAAATGATGCCCAGTTTGGCTCTAGAGGACAAAGTGGGCTATGAAATCTACTCTGTTCCCGCACCACCCATCTGGGACCTGTCGCTCTGTCTCTGCTTCTGTTCTAATCAAATAGACCAATAGGACAGGCAGTTCTTCGCCTGGGTTCACCTCCCGAGCCGCTCATGAACGCCCTTTCCCACCCGGTTGCTGCTGGAGTTCTGGCTGCCAGTGAGTTCAGATCGCAGCTCGCTGAATGCTGCCTTGGTGTTGGTCACTGCAACTCCACACCTTTGTGTCTGCTTGTCTGTCAGTCTCTGGGTACCCCTCTACTGTCATTCTGCCCTCTCCCATTTCCTGGAATGTGCCCTCTCTGCTTCACACTGGCTAATGTTTCTCTGTTTAAACGTGTCATAACTCTATTCTACCATCTGGATCCTCCCAATCTCTATCTTTGTAAAGATTGATTTATTTGGCTTGAAAATTAGAGTCATATAGAGAGGGAGAATAAGAATTTGCTACTTGTTCATTCACTTCCCAGCAGCCGCAGTGGCCAGAGCTGGGCTGGTCCGAGGCTGGGAGCCAGGAGCTTCTTTCAGGTCTCCCGCACAAGGTCTTGAGCCATCCTCTACTGCTTTCCCAGGTGCATTAACAGGGATCTGGATTGAAAGCGGAGTAGCCAGAACACATACCTGTGCCCGCACGGGATGCTGGTGCCGTAGGTGGAGGCTTAACTGCTAACCACCATGCTGGCCCCTCTCACACAATCTTAGGCAGTCCTGTGAGGCTGTCATTATCATTTCCCTTGGCAGGGGAGGAAATTGAAACTTCAGTAACTTCCACAAAGTCACGGGGCTAAGGAATTACAGAGGGGCTCTGAGCTGACGCCATGGCTCCTGATGTCAGCTCCAGCCCCACTGCACCCTCCCAGGATGTGCTCATGTCTCCAGGGTGCTTCCCCATGTTTGCCTTGTGGCACACGGAAGATAACCCTCGGGTCCAGGCCGTTGTGTGACGTGTGGGCCTTGCCAGGGGCGGGGCAGGGCTGCCCGCAGCCTTTGTGCAAGAGGTTAAGGATTGCTTGCTGTGCCTCCCCAGGCAGGCCTGTGGACAAGATGGTGCGTGGCCTGGGCATTTTCAGAAACTCTTCCCCCAGGTTCTTAAAAAAAAAAAACTGTATCTTCCAACATTTTATTATGAAAAATATTAAACCAATTGTAGAATTAAAATACTTGACAGTGAACTCACACAGGTGCTGTGGTTATCATTTTTTCTGCTTGGTGTATCACACTGCTGTCTGTCTCCTGTGTGTTCTCACTGACTCTTGCAGTACCTTTCTAAGTAGCTGGCAGGTACCAGTAAACACCCCCCTGATTACTCCACCGTGCTTAGTAGAGTTCAAAATATTTACAGACTTTTCCACCTAAAGATATATTTCATCTTTATTTGAAAGGCAGAGTTATAGAGAGAGGGAGAGACAGACACTGCCCCAATTGTCATAATGGCCAGTGCTGGGTCAGACCAAAGCCAAGATCTGGGAGCTTCTTTTTTTGTGTTCAAGTGGTTGGTGGGGACCCAGGAAGTTGGGCCATCTTCCACTGCTTTCCCAGAAGCACAGCAGGGAGCTGGATCAGAAGTTGAGCAGGTGGGGATTGAATTCCACCTACATGGGATGCTGTTGTTACAGGTGACTACTTAACGTGCTATGCCACAGTGTCAGCCCCCGGACTTTTTTTCTGGCTCTTAATTTTACTGCAGTTCCTGAGTGCTCAGCTGCCCCTTGGTATCTATACTTCATTGATTCCAGGGCACCATGTCACCAAAATCCACAGATGCTCATTCTGTGTAAAATGGCATAAAGCTGGCCCTTAGCCTGCAATCCTCCCAGTGTACTTTAAATCATCTCCAGATTACTTACCATGCTTAATAACTTAATACAGTAGAAGCACTTTGTCCAAAGTTTTTTCTTTCTTTCCTACTTCTTTTTTTTTTTAGAAAGACAGATATACAGAGAGAAGGAGAGAGAGAAGGGATATCTTCCATCCAGTGATTCACTCCCCAAGTGGCCACATTGGCCAGAGCTGTGCTGATCCGAAGCCAGGAAGCTGGATGTTCTTCTGCATCTCCCATGCAGGTGCAGGGTCCCAAGGCTTTGGGCCATCCTCTACTGCTTTCCCAGGCCACAAGCAGGGACTTTAGCCACCAGGCCCCGCAGGTGTTCTTGTATAGAAGGCACCTTCCACTGAGTGTTGTTACCGTGGCTCCTCTGTGCCATGCGTCCATAGGCCAGCCCCTCTTTGTTGCTGAGCGCTGTTACGCTGTGTGAAGAGAACAGGCTATTTACAGTCCTGCTGATAGACAGGCCTTTCCAGATGGGGACTCCTCTGAACACTGTGCCAGTCTCTTGGTCCCTTTCCTTGGAATTGGAAGTGCTCGATCGTAATCAGCGTGCGTTCAGTTTTAGAAGAAACAACCAGATATTCCCCACAGCACGTGTATGATTTCATCGTTCCTCCAGCAGGGTGTCAGAATTCCAGTTGCTTTCCAGTTGACTCAGCTGAGTCAGCCCGTAGCAAATTAGCACATTTTTTTTTTCCTGTGTGCTTTATGACTTTACAATGGAAGATCGTGTTACATTAGGTTTTGTTTGTGGGAATACTGAATGACCCAGCTTTATGTTTTATAAACCTTAAGATGTTATCAGCCTACAACTGCTTTCTGATGGCTGCCATGGTAACCGGAGGAGGGCAGAGTTTGCTTCCAACCAGACCCTGAACGGATGGTGGAATTCTGGCAGGCCCCTCAAGCTGTGAGACCACCGTTGCTCCATTGAGGGGCACAGACCCATATCCCCTCACCAGTCAGGGTTGAGGCGACCCCCATTTTGGCTTCCATGTCAAGGAGAATTTAAAAAGCCCCTTCCCCGTCTCTTCTTCCTCTGTAGCCCACATCTTCCCGTCTCCTTTCTGCTGCACGGGGAAGGGAAGTCCGTGACCGTGGGTCCCTGAAATAAAGGCCATCTAAGTTCTTTTCATATGTTCAGCTGATTTATTCTTTCGCTGGTGGTTGGCAAATCTAACACTTTCTAATACAGGTTCTCGGTTGAGGAATCCTTTGATTTTCTTAAATCTATAAGCGCAAGTCTATTTCAAGATAATTTCACATAGAAACTTTTTCTTTAAGATTTATTTTATTTTTATTTGAAGGACAGAGTTACAGAGAGAAAGAGATATTCCATCCGCTGGTTCATTCTCACATGGCTGCAATGGTGGGAGCTGAGCCAATCTAAAACCAGGAGCCAGCAGCTTTTTCCAGGTCTCCCACAGGGGTGCAGGGACTGAAGGCTTTGGGCCATCCTCCACTGCTTTTCCAGGCCAGAAGCAGGGAGCTGCATCAGAAGTGGAGCAGCTGGAACTAAAACTGGGATCCATGTGGGAAGCCCGTGCCACAAGCAGAGGCTTAGGCTGAAACACCATGGCACTGCCCCATTAAAAAAAGGTCCATGTGTGTTGGCCATGACAAATGTTTTTTTGTCGTGGCCACTACAGTGTGCCCTGTCACTGAAGGCTGCTGGTCCAGTGGCAGTCTGTTCTGACCTTCTTGCAAACCTTGAACACAGCTCTTGTCCCTGGTGGGCTAAGCCCTGATGTCTGCATGGCCAGGTTGACAGTGCACTAAGTCCTCTGCCCCTTATCCAGTGCCTGCCTCTTTTCTGCCCCAGAGTTCTCTGTTCCACAGAACACAGCCCTGCAGGTGAACACATTTGTGAATGGGTTCCTTGTAGCCTGGAGCATTTCCTGATGCCCTGTGTTGGTAGAAATGAAAGCTAGCAATCTCAGTCTCTTGGAATCATAGAAATGGGAAAAGCAACTCAACTTGGAGATTGTATCCCCCAAACAAAGGGCCACCGGGCAGGCGGTGGAAATATATCCGTCTTTTGAATCACACTCTTTCTTTTTTTTTTCCATTCTGAGATGTCTTTGTTTACAGGACACATCACTGAGATCAGGGGCTACAGTGGTGTGTTTGAGGTGGTGTGAGCGTCAGGAACACAGCAGCCATGTCTCTCGATGACATTAAGATGAAGTCCAGCGACTTGCTGGAGAAGGAGGACCTGGACGGCGGTGGCTTCGGGAAGGTGTCTCTGTGTTTCCACAGACTGCATGGACTGGTGATCCTGAAGAAGGTGTACACAGGACCCAAGCGCACCGAGTGAGTTGGGACAGAGGCGGGCTGGGCTGCACTGCCTGCTGGGCCACTGCTGCGGATCCAGGGGTCGAGCCAAAAGCGTGCTTGTGGATCATGGCAACCCCCAATGGGAGTCTGCTCAGGAGCCCTTTGCTGGGATAGTGGGGACTCTTCCACTGCTGTACCTGAGGGGGACCCCTGGGCTGCTCACTTAGAAGCCAAGAGCTGATAAATAAGGGCCAAGACAGTGGGAAGCAAATAGGAAGAATTCCTGAAGACTAACTTATGTCCATACTTCACTTTTTAGTAAGAGCCAGTGCTCAGGATGAAAAAAAAGGGGGTTGATTCACAAGAGCTTTCACTGTCCTTTCTCTTTCAAGTCCTGCGGGAGTGGTTTCACCTCTCCTTGTTGGAATGGCTATGTTTTGCACAGTCTGTTTTTAAAGCAACACTGCCACCATTCACAGACTTTTCAGTTCATTCACTCGCATTTCTTAAGCACCCACTGCCAATCACTGTTAAAGTGGAAGATAAGGATGCCTGCTAACCCTCGTGGTGTGTGCCCAGGAGAGAACGGAAGTGCAGGGTGATGGGATGCTTTGGAGGTACATGCCAAGATTCTTGGGCCCCGGGGGAGGTGGGGGCAGGGGAAGGTGGCCTGGGTCTGTCCCCGTGAGCGACACACCTCTCCTGCCCACAGCTACAACGAGTCTCTGCTCGAGGAAGGAAAGATGATGTACAGGCTGAAGCACAGCCGGGTGGTGGAGCTGCTGGGTGTCATCATAGAAGACGGAAACTACTCCCTGGTGATGGAGTACATGGAGAAGGGCAACCTGATGCAGGTGCTCAAAGCCAAGGTACAGGATGCTGGGCACCTGCCCTCCGTGCCCGGGGCTGGATGCGGGCCCCGGCCAGGGACACGCCTGGAATATTGGTTTGGAGCTCGCTGGTATAAAATAACTTCTTGTGAGATGATCTTAAGTTTGGATTCTGATAAAAGATTTATTGTTTTTAATTTTTATTTTTCATGATACAGTCACATAGGCTCAGGGATTTTTCCACCCTCTCCGTTCCCTCTCTCCCCTTCATTGCTTTCCCCCATATTGTAATAGTACAGTCCTTCAGCAACAGTCACAAGTCCGTCATTCTGCTGCTTAAGTGTATCATGACATCGTAGGTACAGACAGTGGTACAGAATCTAGCATCCTAGTGTCGAGATCCAGATCTATTTAATTAATTTTAAAGGTAGAGTAATAGAGGGAATGAGAGAGAGAGAGAGACAGAATATGAATTACTCATCATACTTATCCACTTCCCAAATGGTCACAATGGCCAAGGCTGGTCCAGGCTGAAGCCAAGAGCTCCATTCAGGTCCCCAGGTGAATGACAGAGACTCACGCTTGGTTCATCTTCTGAATCCTTTCCAGGCTCATTAACAGGGAGCCGGAATGGAAGTGGAGTTGCTGAGACTTGAACTGGAAGCCAGCTTGTCTGTTGCCAGGTTATAGCTTAATCCCCTGCGCCATGCCTACTCCTGTTCGGAGTTTCCTTGCCTAGCCCAGCCCCAGGAGTGGGCTCCCCCCTCGGTCGTCTGTGTCACTCGCTTGGAGAATCCTCTACGTGTTAGCAGGCTTGTTAGCAGCCACTCTGTGTGCCCAGTTCACAGGGCGGCTCTGTCTAAAGCACCTGATCTGCTATGGGTAAATGTATGTGTGATATGGCGGTCACGGGTGTCCTGGGCAGTGAAGGCACAAAGGAGTGTGGCACATACGGATGATGTACACGGCTGTAAGGGAGATGGAAGATTACGCTTTGATGTTAGTCAAGAAACTTTTATAGACACTTAGCAACAACCCTGCATAAGATTTAAAAGAATAAAAATGGATTATAGTATCCAAATAATCGTTCCAGCATTCTTAACAAGTTAATGCATCTTTCAGATCAAGGCTTTTTGTCTAGTTACTTGGGAAGCTAAGCCAGGATGAGACAGGCAAGAAAGTAAGGGGGCATATAAAGAAATGCCTAATAAGGAAGGGGGACACTATTTTGATAAATATATGAGGACACTTATGAAAGTTCATGGAAAACAGATTTCAAAGGCAAGTTGATTTTGGTACACAAAAAAGTGAAATCCGGGCCTGGCCCCATGACCTAGCGGCTAAAATCCTTGCCTTGATTGTGCCAGGATCCCATATGGGTGCAGGTTCTAATCCCGGACACCTCGCTTCCCATCCAGCTCCCCGCTTGTGGCCTGGGAAGGTAGTCGAGGACGGTCTAGGGCCTTGGGACCCTGCACCCGTGTGGGAGACCTGAAAGAAATTCCTGGTTCCTGGCTTCAAATCAGTGCAGCTCTAGCCATTGCGCTCACTTGGGGAGTGAATCATTGGACAGAAGATCTTCCTCTTTGTCTCTCCTCCTCTCTGTATATCTGACTTTGTAATGAAAATAAAATAAATCTTTATTTTAAAAAATGTGAACTCCTAGGGCTGGCACAGAGGTATAGCAAGCTAGTCTTCTGCCTGCTGTCATGATTTTCATCCTGTCTGCTGCACTTCCCATCCAGTTCCCTGCTTGTGGCCCGAGAAAGCAGCAGAGCATAGCTCAAGTCCTTGAGCCCCTGCACCCGTGTGGGAGACCTGGAAGGAGTGCTGGCTCCTGGCGTCAGATCAGCTCAGCTCCAGCCTTTGTAGCCATTTGGAGAGTCAACCAGCAGACAAAAGATCTTTCTTCCCGTATCTCATTCTCTCAATAGCTATGCTTTTTTGAATAAAAATAACATAAATATATTTTTTTACATCGTGAAATTCATGTATTTGAGAGGTCTTCCAAAAACTCATTGGGGATGCAAACTTAAAATGAATGGCTTCCAATTGTTCATGCACAAAAAGATGTAGATTTTAATTCCATTTTCCATGAACTCATTGAAAGTATTTTGTTTTATATGTATTTATTTGTTTGAAAAGCAGTGGGTGAGGAAGAGATCAGATGAGCTATCATCCACTGATTCAGTTTCCCAGTGTCCCCAGCAGAAGACTGGGGCAGGCTAGGTCTCCCATGGGGGTGGCAGGATGAGCTGCCTGAGCCGTCGTCTGCCGCCCTGCAGGGTGACAGGAGCAGGAAGCTGCCATCAGAGATGGGGCTGAGACTTGAACCCAGGCATTCCCATAGGGTTGGCAGCCCTCCTAAGGAGCATTTCAACACTTGTTCCAAATGCCTGCCACTCCATGAACTTTCTGGAGTGCCCTTGTCATGTGCTGCGGGAACACCGAGCCTGGTGTTTACAGAAGAAGCATCCAGGCTGGAGGACGTGTGGACGCTTCTAATAGTGGTTTTTTTTTCTTAATATATATATGTATATATATATATGTATATATATATATATATTTTTTTTTAATTTGAGGGGCAGATAGGTAGAGCTCCCACTGATTGATTTATACCCAAGCACTGGGCCAGGGCAGAAGGCAGTAGCCAGGAACTCAGTCCAGGTCTCTCACATGGGTGGCACAGACCCACCTACCTAAGTCTGCATTATGTACAAAATAGATGTAGATTTTACTCCCATTTTCCATGAGCCCTTTGCCTCTCAGGACAAGAAGCTAGAGTCGAGAGCTGGGTGGGATTGGAGCCCAGGTTGTTCCCATTCTCCATGTGGGCATCTTCTCCGCTAACCCCAATACCCACCTCAGATGGCACCGCACTGGAATGTCACAATTGCTTTGACCTATCTGGTTCCCTTTCCATCTCATAGATGTAATATCACCTGTTGTAGATCAGTATCCCGCTTTCTGTAAAAGGAAGGATCATTGCAGAGACCATTGAAGGGATGTGCTACCTGCATGGAGAAGGCGTGATACACAAGGACCTGAAGCCCGAAAATATCCTCGTTGATAATGACTTCCACATTAAGGTAGGTGTAACCTATAGGCTTCTAGAAGGTCTCAGAACTTTAGTGCTAATTCACTACCATGAATCTGTCTTTAGGAATGGCAGGTAAAGGAAGACCCAGCTGTCTCCATGTGGTGGTAGACGGCCTGGGCGCGATGGGGTTGGGAGTTAGCTGTGAAAATGGGACTAGTGTGTTTTGGAGAGGAGTCTGGGGAGGAGCCCTCTGCCCTAGCATTTGTTTTCCTCCTGCGTTAGACTTTTAGGTAGGAACATGGAAGGTTTGCCTTGGTGACCTTGGAAGTTTTAGAACCATAAGGGGCGGGGAGATATGAATCCTTGAATCGATGGAAAATCCTCAGAACTGAGGTCTGGCCCAGGAGTCAGATCAATAGGAAGTAGGCCAGTTTGGCATCAAAACCCTTGGCTTTGAAATCTGGCTGGTTTATACTTTTGTTTAATAACCACTACATTTTAAAAAATTAGCATCCTTTGGAAACTTTCCATGTAAGTAAAGAAAACAAGGGCATGGGACCCGAGTTTGGCCAGTCAGGGCAGGTGACAGCTAGGGGGGCATCATGTCTGATTGGCCTTGGCATCCGAGTTGACAGTCCAGGAACTCTGAGCCTACAACTAAAGGTCTTCCTCCCCACCAGAAAGTTCTGCTTCTGACATTTTGTTCTAGGTTGGGCATATTCTTGTTTCTGTTTCTTTAATAATAGCTCTCTCTTTAATAGTTATTTCTAATATTTCCAAGTTTAAAAAAAACTGAAATTTAATTTTTAAAAATAATTTTTAAATTTATTTGAAAGGCAGAGATTTTTCATTCTCTGTCTTATTCCTAAATTGCCACAACAGCTGGATCTATGCCAATTGAAAGCCCAGGAGTCAGGAACACAACCTGCGTCCCCCAAGTTGGTGACAGGGACCCAGAAACTTGGTCCGTCACTTGTTGCCTCCCAGGGTGCACTTAACAAGAATGGGAGTGGAAAGCAGAGCTGAAACTCCAGCCTAAACATTCCTGTAGGAGATACTGGCTTCCCAGTTGGCATCCTAATTGGTATGCCAAAGCCCACCCCCAAACATGTGACTGTTACCTTATTTTTACAGATTGATTTTTTTTTTTAAAGATTGATCTGTTTACTTGAAAGGCAGAATTAGAGGGACAGAGACTTTCTGGCTGCTGACCCACTCCCCAAATGGCCATCATGGGTTGGGCCAGGTGGAAGCCAGGATTCTGAAAGTCCATCTAGCTTCCCCAGTGGCAGCAAGGGCCCAAGTCCTTGGGCCATCTTGCATTGTTTTCCTAGGGTGCATCAGCAGGAGCTGGATCAGAAGTAGATCAGCCAGGCCTTGAACTGGCACCCATATAGGGTGCTGGCAGTGGCAGCTTAACCCACTGCACCACTGAGCCAGTACCAGCAAGTGACTTTGAGACAATCACATGTGTTCTGGCAAAATTCTCCGCTCTGGGTCTCACTGCACTGCACTGTCATGCTGCCCTGCCACCTGTGTCTCTGCTGTGTTTCTGACCTTGGTATTTTTCTCTTTGCCTCTTCATCTTTTTTCTCCTCCTGCCCATCCCATCTGCTCAGGTTCAGCTGAAAATCAGCAGCACACACTGTGTCCTTGGCATCCTTGGAAGCTCGCCTCCACGGGCCTCTGGACCCCGTGTGGGGACGTAGAAGGTGTGGTGCCCGGTCGCCATCTGCGAAGAAGAAAATGCCCTTTCCCTCTTTCCAAACGCTGGTCTCAGAAACATTGCGAAGCAGATGCAGATGCGGAATTCAGGCTAATCATGTCAGAAACATCTTCCTCTTCTCTCCCCTTCCCCTGGTTGTGTAAGAACCTCAGTTTCACACTGCGCAATCATGCCAGACTGTCACACAAGCATGCCCCCCTTTTTTATTGTAAGGTTTATTTATTTGATTTGAGTTACAGACAGAGGAACATCCACACACAGATTCCATTTGTTGCTGTTTATTCCCCAGGTAGCCAAAACAACCCAGAATCGGTCAGGCCCAGCCTGGAGCCAGGGATTTCATTGACATCTCCCATGTGGGTAGCAGGGACCCAAGCATTTGCACCATCTCCTGCTGCTTTCCCAGCTGCATTAGCAGGGAACTGGAGCCTCCACGACTCAAACCAGTGCTCCAGTGGAGCTCCAGCTTTGCACCCAGCAGCTGAACTTGCAAGAACTTTGCTTGAGGGAGATTCCCCACATGGCATTGGGGACACAAAGTTTGTATCTGAGTCTGTTGAGATAGTAGCTGTTTTCAAACCTGCTCAGAACAACCACTTCTGGAAAATTGACTGTACCTCCAAAACCTTGCCATGAAAGCTGACTGGCACGTGGCCGTCTTAGAGTGATCCCCTGGGTGCGTCCTCACTTGCAGATTGCTGACCTGGGAGTGGCCTCCTTTAAGACCTGGAGCAAACTGACTAAAGAGGAGCACAACGAGCAGAGGAAGGCCAACAGCGTCTCCAAGAAGAACGGCGGCACGCTGTACTACATGGCCCCCGAGCACCTGAACGACGTCAACGCCAAGCCCACCGAGAAGTCGGACGTGTACAGCTTTGCCATCGTGCTCTGGGCGATTTTTGCCAATAAGGAGCCTTACGAAAGTAAGATCCCTGTCCAGGAGTGGGTTTCCGAGGCGAATCCAAAGTGAAATCTGCACAGGTTTCTGTTGAATGCCACTTGGAGCCGTTAGACTGTTTTGTTCCTGGAGGGTAGAGCCACATCTAGTGCTTTCTCAGCATCTCTACGTCGCACCTGGGACCTCTGTAAATGGTTTTCGGTGGGATGATTAACCCTACTCTGGAGCCAGAGGTCACAGGAGGGTTAGGAGCCTGGGTCAGGTGTCTGTGCTTGGTTGGTGCTGTATAGGGGTCCAGGGTTCTTGCTGCATGCCGGGTTGTTTGTTCCTGCTTAAGGGAGTTTGGCTTCCACACCGTGCTGACAGCCAAGCTTCCACACATGGTATGCACATTATACTCTCACTCCTCCACTTAACTCCCTTCCGTACTGAAGAATATCCTTGTGTCAGGACCCACTGTGGGCAACATTCGCGGTCTAAGGCTGAGCAAGTCATGGTGTGTGCAGCACGAGGGGCATGACCTCAGCCATGCTTGAGCTTGCTAGTGTCAGCTCTTAGACATCTCCTGTTCTTCTCACAACTCCTGTGGTCTCTTCTGCCCGTGCCTGAAAATACCCTGGCTTCATACAGCCTCTCCACCTTCCCAGGGACCCCCGAGGCGGCCATCCCCCAGGCAGCTTCGTGGCTTTGTGAGTGTTCTCCCTGCCGTCCACTCAGCTTGAATCTTCCTTATGGAAACACAGTGCCAGGCAGCCTTTCCTGTAACCCCAGGGTCTTTGTGTAGTTCAAATCCTCCTTTCTGCTACAGTTTCCAGGCAACTACCATTCAATGGCAGTAGTGCTCTCAAGTGATTGGTGGGACTTCCTCGCCACCCGTTAAGGTCCCGCTGGGCTCCCTAGGGTCTTCAGGATTAGGTTCAAATTCCTCAGTGTGGACTGCAGCCCCCTTTACAGTCTTGGCTTCTCTCTTTACCTTAACTCTCCCCGTCACTCTGATCTAACAATTTCTGAGGCACATCTCAATTTTCTAACTTTCCATCTGTTCCTATCCCATTTCCTTGGCTTGGAATCTTCCTCCCCACATCTTTCCCCATTCGTCACCTACTTATTGCTCTGGACTCCAGAAAGCCACCCCGACCTTTCCTCTTAGTCCTGGTTGTGTTACTGGGACCCCTCGTGTCTACTTGTAAGACGGTCATCGTCGCCGTCTCGCAGCTCTGTGGAGGCCAGGGCTGTGCCATCTTTACCTCTGACTTGCAATCAGAGGACTGGCTTTAACCATGCAGTCCTTTGTCCTACCAGCAGGCAGCTTTGTTCTGAACGCTGTCTTCATTTGTGAAAATGTAAATATTGTCTGAACATCTTACCAGTGGATCCTGTCGGCTCTTGGTCACGACACGTTCCACTCCTGCACAGCAAGGCACCCACAGCAAAAGCAATCCCAGGCAGAGACAGGTTGGCAGCAGAGAACAGCAGGATCTGCCTGGAAGCTGCTGCCAAGCTCACCTCTCTTACAGATGCCATCTGTGAGCAGCAGCTGATACTGTGCATCAAGTCCGGCAACAGGCCCGACGTGGACTGCATCATCGAGCACTGCCCGAGGGAGATCATTGCCCTCATGCGGCTGTGCTGGAAGGAGGACCCGAGAGCACGCCCCACATTCCCAGGTGAGCGCCGTCGCCTGCATGCCTCCTCGTGTGGTGGTTTTCCTGGTAAGAGCTGACGTGTGAGTGTTTAGAAAACCAAGGTCTACTCATTTCCAACTGCTTTTCCCAATCTCAGATGTTGACTTCAATGAAAAACTGCTGTTTCCCTCAAAAGCATGAAGGCCTGTAAGGCCTTATTTCTCTCTCACTTTTTGTAATTAGCTATTTCCTTTATTGTGTTAACATGTATGTAGCACAACATTTACTGTCTTAACCGTTTTAACTACATCAGAATGCTTCAACAAATTTTGTGAGAAATGGAATTCCGATTGAAGTCTGGGGGTGCACATGAGCCTAAGAGTTAAGATACCCACAACTCACTTCTGAGATCCATCAACTGGCTGTGGCTCTGACTCCCGGCTCCAGCTTCCTGCTGGTGTTGACCCTGGGAAGCAGCAGGCCACGGCTGGAGTGACTGGACTCCTGCCACCGACACGGGGGACCTGCATTGAACTGGTCCAGCCCGGCTGTGTAGGCTTCTGAGGAGTGGACCAGCAGGTGGGATTTCTCACTTCTCTCTCTGTCTCTCAAATTAAATAATGCCTTTTTACAAAGAGGAGCTTGTTTTGTTGCCCCCCCACCAAAAAAAAGCTTTTTAAAGATTTACTTTTTTTTAGAGAGATTTTATTTATTTTTATTGAAAAGGCAGATGTACAGAGAGGAGGAGAGACAGAGAGGAAAATCTTCCATCCAATGGTTCACTCCCCCAAGTGGCCACAACGGCTGGAGCTGAGCCAATCCAAAGCCAGGAGCCTCTTCCGCATCTCCCACACGGATGGATGCAGGGTCCCAAGGCTTTGGGACGTTCTTGACTGCTTTCCCAGGCCACAAGCAGGGAGCTGGATGGGAAGTGGAGCTGCTGGGATTAGAACCGGCGCCCATATGGGATCCCGGCACATTTAAGGCAAGGACTTTAACCACTGCACTATCACGCCAGGCCCAAGATTTACCTATTTTTATTGAAGAGGTAGAGTTACAGAGAGAGGGAGAGACAGAGAAATCGTGAGGAGGATCTTCTGTCTGCTGGTTCACTCCCCGTATGGGCACGGTGGCCAGGGCTGAGCCAAGCAAGATCCGGGACCCTAGAATAACATATGAAAGTCTCACATGGATACAGGGGCCCAAGTACCTGGATTATGCTCCGCTGCTTCCCCAGGTGCATTGATGGGAAGCTGGGTTGGAGCAGCCAAAACTCCGGGATGCTGGCATCACAAACAGCTGTTTAACTTGCCACAGTGCCCCCACATTTTTTAAATCTATGCATTTTGAAGTATTTTTCCATCCGCCTTTGAATACTGCTTGTGCAATTCAAAGATATGAAGTGCATCTTACACTGTTGTGCAACCATCACTACTGGCCAACTCCATAGCTTTCTCATTTTCTGAACCTGGAACTCCATACCTAGGAAGCAGCTGTTCCTCCAGGCACCTCTGTTGTAGGGAGTTTGTCTGGCATCTGGCTTCTTCCCCTTAGCTCGGTTTCCCCCGGTTCATCTGCATCGAACCTGTGTGAATGTTCGCTTTCTTCTCATGGCTGAACACCATTCCATCGTGTGTACACATTGTGTTTTCCCAGTTGTATGTCTTGGGTTGCTTTGGCTGACTCTTGTTTCCTAGCTTCCACTCCGCTCGACACCCTCCTTGCATAGCTGGTGTATTTAGGTGAATGGTTTTGTCATTAGTTTGGCCTGAAATGGACGGAAATGGATTTGGGTGCTTGCCATACCCTCAACACCGCCACCCTTTCCCCCTCAGCAGAGTTGCCTAGGATCTTGCCAGGTGGGGCAAAGGAAAGACGTAACCCAAATGAGGAAAACACCTGTGGTAGGAGGGGACCAGGCAGCCAGCAGTGCATTTTGCCGCCATGTTTCTGAAGCCCTGTGCTGTTTCCATCCGAGGATTCCAGGGCGCCCAGCAGCCTTAGTGTTTGCCTGGCTCAGTGTCTTCTCATCTCTCATCCTTTTTTAACTTCCTGAAATTAAAGTTCAGGAGTGGACATTTGGAGCAGTAAGATACTGCCTTGGGTCAAGCACATAGCGTGGCAGCAGAGTGCCTGGTCCTGCTCATCACAGCCTGGGAGGCAGCAGACGGTGCGGGCGTGTGCCCTGGGGTCCCTGTCAGTCATGTGTGGACCTGGATGGAGTGCCAGGATGCAAGCTTCCTCCCTGCCCAGCCCTGGCCTTTGTAGACAATGGAGAGTGAACCCACCAGTCAACAATCTCTCTTTATGTCTGCTAATCAAATGATGAAAAAGAGTTTTTATTTTGAGATAACTCTAAATTTATTTTAATTTTTTAAAAAAGATTTATTTTTATTAAAAAGTTATATATACAGAGAGGAGGAGAGACAGAGAGAAAGACCTTCCATCTGATGATCGCTCCCCAAGCGGCCAACGCTGGACATGAGCTGATAATGAAGCAGGAGCCAGGAGCTTCTTCCAGGTCTCCCACGTGGGTGCAGGGTCCCAAGGCTTTGGCCTATCCTTGACTGCTTTCCCAGGCCACAAGCAGGGAGCTGGATGGGAAATGGGGTTGCCAGGATTAGAACCAGCGCCCATTTGGGATCCTGGCACATGCAAGGCCAGGACTTCAGCCACTAGGCTACCATGCCAGGCCCAATAACTCTAAATTTATATGCAGTTATAAGAAGTAACACAGTCTGGTGTGATTGTTCAGTGGTTAAATATTGACTTGGAATGCACTGGGATCCCATTTTGGCATCAGTTCATGTCTTGTCTGCTCCCATGTGGGAGACCTTGGAGAAGCTCCTGGTTTCTGGCTTCAGATCAGCTCAGCTCTGGTCATTGTGGCCACTGGGGGAGTGAACCAGTGGATGGAAGATCTTTGTCTCTCCTTATCTCCGTAAATCTGCCTTTCCAATAAAAATCCCCTCCAGGGGATGTCTCAGAAAACCTCAGTTCAGCATTGCTGCCGTACCAGCGGGGACAGAATATTTCCATCATGAGAATGGCCCCTGCTGTTGCTTTTTTGTAGTCACGTAGATTTCCTTCCTACTCCCACATCCTTGCCTCCGGAGAACACTGATTTATTCTCCATTTCCATCTCAAGAATGTAACCTAGAGGCAGACACGGTGGCACAGTGCGTTAGCTGATGCCTGTGCCATCCCAATGAGATGCCAATTTGAGTCCCAGCTGCTCCACTTCTCATCCAGCTGGCATCCCATATGGGTGCCAGTTTGTGTTCTTGCAGCTCCACTTCCCATCCAGCTCCCTGAGTGTGGTCTGGGAAAGCAGTTGAGGATGGCCCAAAGCCTTGGGACCCTGCGTGGGAGACCTGGAAGAGCTCCTGGCTCCTGGCTTCCGATCAACTCAGCTCCAGCCGTTGTGGCCACTTGGGGCGTGAACCAGCAGATGGAAGTTCTTCCTCTCTGTCTCTCCTCCTCTCTGTAAATATGAGTTTCCAATAAGGTCTCTATCCTGCCAGTCGTTGTTATTGTACTTACGTGTGGTCCTTAGGGCTCTCTGTATGTATACTTACATATTTTTTTTTTCAGTTAATTTTCTTTTTCTTCAGATTAAATCATTTTTGTTCTTTCTTCCAGGCCACTGATTTTTCTGTTTTCCTTGGCTTCTACTGTTGGACCTACCTACTGAGCTATTTTAGAAATTACGTTTGTTGATTATTTTGCACAGTAGTTTCATCAGCATAGGGTGTCATCTCCCCACCTCCCTCCCTTTCCTTCCCATATTTCCCTCCCACTTTTTGTCTCCAAGTTAGAACAAAAGCACAGTCAGTGGATTGATTTCGAGGTAACTTCGTGATGTATGTTTCATTGCATGGGAAGTATAGAGAATGGTAGAAAACAGTATCCAGGGTGTAGGTTTATGTGTAGGTACTGGTGGGAATCCTGCTGTTGACCAGGAGTAGAGACACGCATGCTGTGTTCACCCATTGCTTTCCAGCAGGCTTCTTCCACACCCCCACACACTTTTTTTTTTTAAGATTTATTTATTTTTATTGGTAGACAGAGTGACAGAGAAGGAGTGAGAGATTGTCTTCCCTGGTTCACTCCCCCAAATTCAGCAATGGCTGGAGTTGGACTTGTCTGAAGTCAAGAGCCAGAAGCTTCTTCTCCCAAGGGGTACAGCAGTCCAACACTGAGTCATCCTATGTGACCTCCCCAGGCCATTAACAGAGAACTGAATCGAAAGTGGAGCAGCTGGGACTCGAACCAGAGCCCAGATGGATTACTGGCTCTGCAAACAGTCTTAACCCGATACACCCTGGCACCAGCCCCTGAGCTTCTCCTTTTGATTGTTGTATTGTTCAGCTCTAAAATGTATGTCCTCTGTTTTCTTTGTTGAGATTCTTTTTGTTTCAGTGGGGTTCATAATGATTTTCATCATGGCAGTGTTAAAAGTCTTGGGCAGGTAATCTTACCGTCTCTGTCATTTTGGTGTTGGTCTCTGTTACTTTTTTTTTTTTTTTTAATTCAGTGCCGAGTCCAGCTCCAGCTCAGTTCGGAGCTTGAGAATGGTACATGAACTAGGCGTAGAAAGAAGAGAGACGGACCACTACAGTTCCAAGATCATTGTGGACAATGCAAGAAAGCTGTCCGCTTTATTTATACAGAAGCAGTACACGGTTTTCTTTTAGGGCAATTTGACATAGCTTCAAGGGGGGCACAATTTACAACAGCTCGAGAGGTGAGTGAGGAAGGATTCCACATTCTTTGCTTATCTCGGCTTGCCAGCCTCAACCTGCTCTCCTCAAGTCTGGGTACTATGCTGGCACACCTGTGACAACCAGACCCCTACCTTGAATCATGTATGGGTTAGTAAGTCTGGGGTCTTGGTTTACGGGGATTAGGGTATTGGCACCAAAGGTCATTAGGTTTGCAGGCTCACACAGTTTAACTAAGCAAGAGTTATGACGACGGAAAGAATTGCAATTAGCAGTGAGCCATGTTTACTCCATTTAAGTTTCAACTCTACAATGGGGTAGTGAATGTTTCCTAAGATAATTCTACAAATTGTTTCACCCTAAGACAGGGCATTATCCATTCTGATGTTACAGCAAGAATTTCTCAGTAGACAACACATCTTATTCAGTAATACACTCCTACTGCAATTCTTATTCTACAACTTATCCATCACTTAATGGGAGAAATGCATCAAAAGTGAAAAAACAAAGATCTAAGACAAAACGTTTCCAACATTAAATCCCTCTACAACTGCAGGTTCTACAACCTCATAAATGATCAAACAATAATCAAAAGTATATCTTTATGATGTTAGTAAAAATCACCCTATATTTCCTCTAGTTAAAAATTATGAAGGTAGCTAAAGCAACTACATTTCCTATGTTCTAAAGAGTTGCAAGGACAGGCTAAGGTCACAGTAATTGTATTTTTGCCATAGCAGGATGGCCTTTAGGGTCACAGTAGCTATGTTCTTTGTCATAGCAGGATGGCCTTTAGGTCCCAGTAACAGGATAGCTTTTAGGGTCCCAGTAGCTATATGTTTTGTCGTAGCAGTTTCAGCCCATACTCTCATCACTTCCATTAGTTTGTAAAATTCTTATCAACCCATTTCCCAGAAAGCATGCTAAATGTCTGGGCCAGATTTCAGGGCAATGGGTAGGCACAAAATAAGGTGTCTGGAAACAGCATGGGCTTAATTGTACTCCTGTGTGTAGTTAAAGGCCCACTCACCAAGGCATTATCAGTAACATTAACTCCTAAGCTCATGTTGGTTGTAAAAGTCATCTCACAGGGGCAAACAATGCCTCAATAGATTACAAAAATTCTTAGTCGGGTGGTTGAGTGTCCATGCAAAAGGGGGTGAGACTGCGTCAAGGTGGTCAGAGAGAAATCCGCTGGGCCCTGCCAAACAGCTGGAAGCTCCCCCGGGCCCTGCCAAGCAGGGAAGCTGTGTTCTTCACACCTTCATGTCATCCACACCTACTGCACGGACCCCAACAATTTAGTATAGAACCTGGATTGGAAGTATTGCAGGTGGGACATGAACCAGTGTACATAAGAGATTCTAGCATTGCAGGCAAAGACTTAGCTTGCTACACCCTGGCACTGGCTTGGCCTTCCAGCTGCTAAGCTCCATGCCAAGATATATGAGGCAAAGAAAAAGAAGTCTAGTGACCTCATGTGTCTCCTCAGATCTCAGGATTCCTGCCGGCCTGCCTCCTGTCCTTCCAGTGTCTACATGTTAGTAGCAGGTTTATGTTGACGCTATGTGTAATAGCTAGCTGTTTTTATTTTTCTTTTCGCTGTAATTAGTAGAAGGAATCAGGAAAAGTATGTACACTCCAGCTTCCTGGAAGTTGTCTCTTCTATGTAAAGCTAGCAGCTTGAACCCTTTACACAATACAGTGTCCTTCTTTTACATGTCCCATCCTGTCACAGGGACAGAAACATGGAGGTCACCCATCCTGGTTCGCTTGGAGCTGAACTCACATCAGCTAGGGCTCTGGATACAGCCAGAGAAACACATGGAGGCATAGGAGCCATGGCCCCACTGGAGCCCTAAGAGTGTGGTCCCACTGGAGCCCTAGGAGTGTGGCCCCGCCAGAGCCCTAGGAGTGTGACCCCACTGGAGCCCTAGAAGCCGTGATCCCACCAGAGCCCTAAGAGTGTGGCCCCACTGGAGCCCTAGAAGCCGTGGTCCCACCAGAGCCCTAGCCCTTAGTCTGTCTGCATGGTCCTTGTCTTGCTAATTAACATAGTGATGTGGAGATTCAACTGCTACTTTACTCTCTTGCCCACAGTTAAGGCAAACAATCCAGACACAGTGGTTTACTTACGTTTCAGCCAAAACGTCATTTTAAAGTACTGTTTCTTATTCATACAGACATTGAAGGAAATTTTAAGCCTTTTTATTCAACTAATTTGGAAGAAAATGTGGAAGAGGATGTGAAGAGTTTAAAGGTAGGTAATATAGCAGAAGCCCAACACGTTAACATACCAACACACACATGACCAACCATGAGAAACAAAGTGCCATAATTTGCTACCAGAATTTTGAGATGAGAGCCAGCTAAGTGAATGTATAAAACTGAATTAGGGCCCAGTATGGTAGCCTAGTAGCTAAATCCTTGCCTTGCATGCGCTGGGATCCCATATGGGTGCCAGTTTGTGTCCTGGCTGCTCCACTTCCCATCCAGCTCCCTGTGTGTGGTCTGGGAAAGCAGTCGAGAATGGCCCAAAGCCATCCCGGAAGAAGCTCCTGGCTCCTGGCTTCGAATCAGCTCAGCTCCGGCTGCTGCTTGGGGAGTATCAGATGTTTCTCTCTTTCTCCTTCTTTCTGTATCTCTGCCTTTCCAATAAAAAAAAAAAGAGCTGAATTAGCTCCTCTATACAAATGTCATGTTAGCACACTAGACCCATTCCTCCAACAACATTCATGACATAAGAGATGAAATGTGTCTAGCAGCACAAAAACAAAAGTGCAGTGTTGCTGGAGAAGAGTGGGGAAGAGAGTGGAGCAGTTGTTTTGAGTAATTTTTGAAAGACAGAAAAATAGCAGAATTCTGTCTGGGGCCAGTACATTGGCTAATCCTCCACCGCCAGGCACTGGCATCCCATATGGGTGCTGGTTCATGTCGTTACAGCCCCACTTCCCTTCCTGCTCCCTGCCTGTGGCCTGGGAAAGCAGCCGAGTGCGGCCCAAAGCCTTGGGATCCTGCACCCGTGTGGAAGACCCGGAAGAGCTCCTGGCTCCTGGCTTCAGAATGGAAACCACTGAGGCTATTTGGGGAGTGAACCAGCAGCTGGAAGATCTCTGCATCCACCTCTCCTCCTCTTCGTGAATCTGCCTTTCCAATGAGAATAAACCCTTAGAAAGCAATTAGATAGCATCCTAACCTTGATTACTAAACCTGAAGAAGAAGGTTTAAGTTTGAGCAAGGCCAGTCTCACACTAAATAGTATAGACACAAGTATCTTAAATAAACTAGACATTGAATTCATTAGGGGACAGAAGCAAAGTCGGGCTTATCCTAAGAAACCCATGTTCGTTTAGAAAAATTTGTCATTCTAATGCAATTCTGAAATAGTTACATTATTTTACTAAATGGAGGAAAATTTTCTATTTTTAATAAATATATAAAAACAATTTGTTAATATGCAATAGTTATTCATGATTAAAACTCCTAGCAACTCAGGAAAAGGAGAAGTTTCTTGCCTGATAACGAGGGCTCTGAGAAAAGGCCCAGAAAACACTGTGCTCATTAGCGGAATATCAGTGGTTTTTCACGGAGAGAAGATGCCAGGTAAGGTGGTTCCCACCGCCATTTCTAGTCGGCCTGGTGTATTAGAGGATCCGTTGCAGTGTAGCAAAGAAAAAGGACTGAAAAGGAGAATAAGACTGCTGTGGATCAACGATAGGCATAAATGTATTTATCAAATTCAAAAGAATATTTTGAATCAACAGAATTTTTATGGTCATACAACTAGTACATGAAAAAAATTATTATATCTACCACAGACAGTTACAAAATGAACTTTTCAAAGGCACCATTGACAATAGCAATAGATTTTTTTTTTTGTAGTACAAGTACAGAATTCTTTATTAGTAATTCTTATTTGTTCTGTTTTGATTTTTATAATCTAAGTTTCTATCATTCCTTTTTTTTAATTATTTTATTTTGATGATCTTTACATAGTTGATTAGGGCACAAAGGGTCAAGGGCCTCAGGATAGTAGGTAAAACCATTGTTTCCACATTCTCTTCTTTCCTTGCAGTATCTGGGGAAGAGGGGAGACAAAGGGAGAAGCCACTCCCAGCCTGCCCCCCATCCCAGGGCCCCTGATGTGTGGCATGCTCCATGGGTACTGCTCAAGTGGTTTCGGTAGTTCAACAGTTCTGCATTGCTGCCAGTCTTGCCATTCCAGGCACGGTGAAATCTCTCCAGAATCCACCTGCTGACACAGTCCACCTTAGCGTCTCCACTTGCCCAGATTTTCACTGCCAACACTTGGCTGGGGGAGTTGATCAAGAAAGTCCATACCTTTTAAACAGTAACTCATTGCTTCCTTTCCCCTGTTGTTGATAATTGATACTCTGTTTTCTGTATTTGCCTGTTCTAGGAAGCTCATGAGGGTAAGATCATGCAATAGTTTCCCATTTGGGTCGTAGTTTGCTTAGCTCAATGCTTGCAAGATTTTTACATTTGGTAACATATCAGAATGCCTTTCCCTTTATAGCTGATTTGTATTCTAATGTACTGATACATCACATTTTATCCATTTGTCAGTTGATAGATCTTGGGCTGGACACTGTGTATAATGATGTCGTGAAGATGGGTGTCCATTTAAATCCTTGCTTTTAATTCTTTGGAGTCTAGCCCTTGGAGTGGCATGATTATATTAAATGACAGTTCTATGTTAACTTTTTTTTTTAAAGACTTATTTATTTTTATTGGAAAGTCAGATATACAGAGAGGAGAAGAGACAGAGAGGAAGATCTTCTGTCCGATGATTCACTCCCCAAGAGACTGCAATGGTCGGTGCTGCGCCAGTCTGAAGCCGGGGACCAGGAACTTCTTTCGGGTATCCCACATGGCTGCAGGGTCCCAAAGCTTTGGGCCATCCTCCACTGCTTTTCCCAGGCCACAAGCAGGGAGCTAGATGGGAAGTGGAGCTGCCGGGATTAGAACCTGCACCCGTATGGGATCCAGGCGCATTCAAGGCGAGGACTTTAGCCGCTAGGCCATGCTGCGGGCCCTATGTTAACCTTTTAAGGAAACATCAAGCTGTTTTGTACAGCATCCCGATCAGCAACATAAAAGAATTCCATGGTCAACATGCTCACCAACACCTATAACTGTTTGGTTTTATTGTAGCCATTATTATATTATATACACACTATAACATGTAATTTATTACATATAATATTACATACGTATATATTAGATACACATTATTGTATTAACATAGCCACGTTAATGAGTGCAAGGTGGTGTATCCTGGTGGTTTTATTTGTATTTAAGGACTAACACTAATGTTGACTCTCCTTCCTTGTGCCTGCTGGCCATTTATAAATCCTTGAGTAGGTGCCAGGTCTTTGCCAGTCTTTTCATTGCTTTTGTGTGTTGTTACTAACTGGTAGGAGTTCTTTGGAGAGCTCTCCTTTCCTGGGAGGGTATGATTGCATCCCCCTCTCTCTGGGCGGTCTCCTCACTTAGTTGCTGGTACCTTTGGCTGCAAGGAAGGCTTTGACTTCCATGTAGTGCGGCTTGGTTTTGCTTTCCCTGCCTGTGCGTTCTGTGTCAGACCCGGGAAACCATCCCGAGGACCGTGTTGTGCGTTTCCTTTCCTTTTTCTGCCCAGAGTTGTGTAGTTTTAGCGCTTACGTGGATAGATTTGATCCATTTTCTAGTTCATTTTTGAATGAGACAAAGTAATGGTTCAGGTTCATTCCTTCGCATGCAGATGTCTGTTTCTGCCAGCCGGTGGTTCTTCCGCTGTGGCCGACGATCAGCTGGCCGAGGGGGGCAGCCTGGCCTCTGGGCGCTCTGTGCAGGTCCCCTGTTCCTTTCTGTCCCACAGCGTTGTGATGACCGTGGCTTGGTGGCAAGTTTTGAAATCGGGAGACATGAGTCCTCCTCCAGCTTTTGGCTCTTTAGCGGGAAAATTGATTTAAAAAAAAAAAAACAAGACTAGTTGTAAGATCCACATGCAAGCTCTTCCTTTTGAGAAGATTCACTCATCTGGCAGTAGATTTCTAGAACTGAATGTGTCCTGCCTTTCTGCTTGTGACCACAGAAGGATTACCCGGAGGTGAATGCGGTCGTGAAGAGGATGCAGTCTCTCCAGCTTGACTCTGTGCCCGCGCCTGCCAGCAGATCCAACTCCGGTAAGCTGCCCCGTGCCCAGAGACCGCCCATCCGCTCACGTGCTCCTTCACCGGCTCTCAGATACTGTGCAAGAACACAAAGGGTATATGGGGATGGAATTTTTAAAAATAAGTTTTGGCGGGGGGAACAAAAAGTTGGAAATCAATACGTAATTGTTTTCTCAATTATAAAAAATATTTAGTATCTTTTCATCTTAATATTTTATGTAAACTTTTTGAAGAGCCTTCATGTTGTAAACACAAGACATTCTGCCTTATATGGACTTATAGTATGGTCAGGAGTCAAGTTAAATATATTTGAAATATGAAGTCACAATGTTTTCATTGAAATGACACTGTCCTAAACATGACAGGGCCCTATAAATCTGACAGAGAGAAAGTAGCAGTTCAGAAAAACGGACCAAAAGCCCAGAAGTGATTGGATCACAGCAGTGGCCGGCAGGCTGCACTCACACTTTCAGGGTAATTCCAGAAGAGAAGGGAGAAGGGCTGAGTGTAGGGCGCTGAAGCCACACGAGAGCTGTCCGCCTGCATATACCTCAGCCATCAAGTCAGAATTGCTTGTGTGGGTTCCTAGAGCTTTTATTTTTTTAAGGTTTATTTCATTTTTATTGGAAAGGCAGATACACAGATACAAGGAGAGACAGAGAGGAAGATCTTCTGTCTAATGATTCACTCCCCAAGCAGCCACAATAGCCAGAGCTGCGCAAATCCGAAGCCAGGAGCCTTTTCCAGGTCTCCCACGTGGGTGCAGGGTCCCCAGGCTTTGGGCAGTCCTTGACTACTTACCCAGGCCCCAAGGAGGGAGCTGGATGGGCAGCGGGGTTGCCAGGATTAAAACCAGCACCCAGCCTGGCGCCGTGGCCTAGCAGCTAAAGTCCTGGCCTTGAATGTGCTGGGATCCCATATGGGTGCCTTGGGACCCTGCACCCGTGTGGGAGACCTGAAAGAAGTTCCTGGCTCCTGGCTTTGGATCGGTGCAGCTCTGGCTGATGTGGTCACTTGGGGAGTGAATCATTGGATAGAAGATCTTCCTATCTGTCTCTCCTCTTCTCTATGTATCTTTGTAATGAAAATAAATCTTAAAAAAAAAAAAAACAGCACCCATATGGGATCCCGGTGTGTGCAAGGCAAGGATGTTAGCTGTTAGCCTTTAAGATTTATGTGCTTTTATTTGAAAGATAGACTGTACATAGAGAGAAAAGAGAAAGGTGTTCTGTCTGCTGGTTCACACCCAAAATGGCTGCAATGGCCACAGCTGACCTGAGCCAAAGCCAGGAGCCAGGAGCCTCTTCCGGGTCTCCTATGTGGAAGCAGCATCCCAAGGACTTGAGCTGCTGCTTTCCTAGGCCACAAGCAGAGAGCTGGATGGGAAGTGGAGTAGGGACACAACCTGGTGCTCACACGGGATGCCAGTGCCAGAGGACAGACTAGCCTACTGTGCCACTGTGTTGGCCCCTGCTTTGGCTCTTAGTTTCTGCCTGGCCCCACTAAGGATACAGCCAACTCCACTCACGTCCCGTGTCCTGTGCCCATCCCTGCACAACTGCCTCCCTGTTGTCTGTTACTTCCTGTGTGCCCTGTCAGGCAGGGGCACCTGATCCTCTCTAGAACCTGTGGGAAGAGTGCCACAGCTGTGTGCCTCTCACTTGTCTTACTTATTTTCAGTTTCATGACCACGTTCAGCTTTCATTTTGCTTCTGCACGTTTTCTGAAACCCATTCCAATATATTGATGATTTCCTTCGCAGCCACAGAGCAGCCCCACTCCCTGCACAGTTCCCAGGGATTCCAGACGGGGCCTGTGGAGATGACCTTCGCGTCCCTGTTCTCGGCCTCCCCCGAGCACCTGCAAGAAGACAACCAGCCGAGCCTGCAGAGTAAGCTCCAGGAGGAAGCCAACTACCATCTTTACGGCAGCCGCATGGACAGGCAGCTGAGACCGCAGCTCCGGCAGAGTGTGGCTTACAGCAGGGAGGAGGAGAGGAGACGGCGGGTTTCCCATGATCCTTTTGCACAGCAGACACCTTATAAGAACATTCAGAACCCAGGCCTCCAAGTGCCGAGTTACCTCGGTGCGGCCAATCAATGCAATATGCTCCACCAGCCGATGAGACTCAACAGCCAGTCCCCACCACCATGCTGGAACAATGGGTTCTACAATCTGTACGGTTTGGGAACGAGGCCGTTGGACCCAGGGACAATGGGTTCTGTTTGGTATGGATCTACTGGAAGCCAAATTCAAAATCAACATAAAACTCCAGTGCCTGAGACCAACTTACTAGGAAATACACCCACCATTCCATTTAACTCCTTGACACCAGCAGGTAAACACATCTCTAGTGGTCCCTATCCTACCCTTTTTTAAAATTATTATTGCTGAAAGTAAACAGCCAGTAGCTGTATGACAGGGGTCCACAGGATGGCAGTGAAGGACAGCTCATTGCAGGTGCTCCATGGTGAGCAGACCTTGCCGACGTGGGATGGTAATGGCCTCCTGCGCTGCAGGCCTGGGATTCCTCAGAGCTGCCCCCAGGTACTGTTACACAGGCCTAGCAATTGCAGGCGACTTCCCGTGGTGGCCCTGTCACCCCCAGTCTCTGGCAAGTGGGAAGAGCTCTGCCTGTACACTTTTCTATCTCGCTGTCTTCTAAGACAAATGAAGACCGTTCATTTTCACAAAGTTCATAGGAAATGGACTTAAATTTTTTGATACAGAAAGTTTGAAATCCCTGCATAGTGTGTTCACACTATAGGTGGTAAGTGCTAGGAGCGTCACTCTTACTAACATTGTTAATAAAGAACATCTCTCGGGAGACAAAAACCTTTGCAACTGGGGAGCTCCTTAACACCAAGGATACACATTTGGCAAGCATGGATTCAGATGACCTCAGCTGCAGCAGCTTCATGGGCTGCCCAATGTGACACGCAGATCACTGTATGTGTACCTGGAACTTCTTTCAATGAGAAGGGCCCAGTTCCTCGGCTCCATCAGAGAAGGTGCTGAAACCTGATCACAGCGCCTAATCCAACCAGGCCTGGAGCTCAGCTTCATCTGCCTGCCTCCTCACAGGGTCCTCTCTCGCACAAAGACGTGTTCAGTGTTGTTGAGTGACAGTTGTATCATGGGGCAAGTTCAACCTGAATGTCCCTGAGTGTGTCCCCTCTCCTAGGCCCCCCAGGCTGGGAGTGTGAGGACTGTGAAAAGGAGCCAGTGTGGCATTCCCCCTCCTAAGGACTCAGACTCGGGGAGCAGGCAGCCCTGAGCTGATCCGGAGCTGCCAAGGACAGAGTGCGACAGGCTCGGGGAGGGAGCTTTGCAGACAGGCCTGGGCCAGACCGCACTAGGAAGGGAGCAGGTGGGGACAGCCTGAGCTAGGGCCAGGTCATCGTCTAACTGGATCACTGGGGAGCCTGGAGGGAGCACAGTGGCGGGGTTAGAGAGGGGGCTGAGGCAGCAGCAGGAGGATCTGCGGGCATGAAGGTGGCGCTATAGCAGGAGGCAGCCATCTGAGCCATTCGCAAGTGTAGCGCCCTCTCGCGCTCTCCCACTGCCCTGCAGCCATCACCGCCATCCACTCCAGGCCTTTCTTCCCATTCTGAAAGCCTGCTGCCATTAAACCCCACTCCCCAGTGCTGCCCTGCCACCGCCTCCAGCCCTCAGCAGCCCCTCTCTACGTCGTGAATTTTACTAGGATAATGTCCTCAAGGTTCACCCGTGTGGTGTGAATCATAGTTTCTTTCCTTTTTAAAGCCAAATAGTATTCCCCTGTGCAGATGATACGGCACCGGGTGATTCCCCGTTCCCCCGGTGACGGACAACGTGGACTGTCTCCATCTCTGCGCTGCTCACAGTAATGCTGCTGGGAACATGGCTGCAGAAACATTTCTTGAAGACGCAGCTTTCAGTCCTTTGGGCTGTATACCCTGCAGTGGAATTGCTGGATCACACCGTACTTTCCGTTTTAGTTGCTTCGAGGCCCCGGCCCCACGTTCTGTGCAGTCAGTGAGCAGGTACCTTCCCACCAGCCACGCACAAGGGTTCTGTTTTCAGCAGATTCTTGCCAATATTTAGTAATTTTTCCCCCTTTTTTTCTTTTTCTTTTAAATAAGTAGCACCCTAATGAGTATGAGGCCAATTAGTCACATTTTAAGAAAGAAATCCTAAGAGGGGTCTGGCATGATTGGCTTAAACCTTTAGAAGAAAGCCCTGCTCCTCTACCAGGCCATGTTCACATCTTACCAGTGATGTGAACATCTTTAACCCGTGTCTTTCTCTCTACTCAGAGGAGTCTATAAAATGCACCATCTACAACAGCAGTGGTATCCAGATCGGAGCCTGTAACTACATGGAGATTGGCGGGGAGCTCTCATCACTGTCAGACGGCTTGCACACAAACCCACAGGAGCCAGCTTCGAAGTACCAGGCCGTCTTTGGTAAGAGGCCCCTTACACACCGTGTCCAGCACTGTTGAGCTTTCTTACTCGTTCAGAGGGAAGTAGTGGAATCTTTAAATTTCCCTGGTGATTGTCCTGAAAGCTAATCCCATCTTCTGCGAAATTTCCATAGATTCATGTCTTTGTATGTATTTTTTTTATTTATTTATTTTTTTAAAGATTTATTTTTATTATTTTTTCATTGGAAAGGCAGATATACATAGAGGAGAGACAGAGAGGAAGATCTTCCGTCCGATGATTCACTCCCCAAGTGAGCACAACGGGCCGATACTATGCCGATCCAAAGCCAGGAGCCTCTTCTGGGTCTCCCACATGGGTGCAGGTTCCCAAAGCTTTTGGGCCGTCCTCGACTGCTTTCCCGGGCCACAGGCAGGGAGCTGGAAGGGAAGCGGGGCTGCCGGGATTAGAACCGGTGCCCATATGGGATCCCGGGCATGCAAGGCGAGGACCTTTAACCACTTGCACCACCGCGCCGGGCCCTGTATGTATTTTTGATTTGGGAAGAATCACAGTTATAGATTCATGGCTTTGTTTTAAAACTGAAATGAGTTGATGTATGAAGCACACAGAAGTCTGCAAAAGTGCTGAATTTTCCTCACCATCATCATCATCTCGCCTGTTCTGTAAGAGAGAGACCCTCTGCTCTCAGTGGCACTTCTGTAATAAACTCAGCAGGCCCGTAACATGAGCCCCGAAACAGTCTGGGAAAGGCAGCGTGAGTCCAGGACGAGAGCAGAGCTTTTTGGTTGACCTGGGATCAGCACGTTTTTCTCTGCCAACAGCCAGATGGTAAACAGGCTGGGTGTTGCGGGCCCTGAGCTCTCCTTTGGAGCTACTCTGTCCTTACAATGCCAGGGATGTCAAGCACTGCCTCGTGTGTACTTGACTGATCATAGCTGAGTTCCAATAAAAATTGACTTACAGGGCACAGCGTGGTAGCCTAGTAGCTAACGTTCTCGCCTTGCATGGCACGCCTAGATCCCATATGGGCACTAGTTTTAATCCCCGCTTCCCATCCAGCTCCCTGCTTGTGGCCTGGAAAAGCAGTCAAGGATGGTCCAAAGCCTTGGGACCCTGCACCTGCATGGGAGACCCAGAAGAGGCTCCAGGCTCCTGGCTTTAGATTGGCAAAGCTCTGGGCATTGCAGCTGCTTGGGGAGTGAACCAACAGACGGAAGATCTTCCAGTCTGTCTCTCCTCCTCTCTACATATCTGACTTTACAATAAAATTAAATGTTTTTAAAATGTTTATTTACAAACAAAACAAGGTGTAAGGTTTGGCCCACTGACCATGGTTTGTTGAATGATATTTGAAAGTGTCTCGGAGAGACGTGCCTGGCTTCTGAGGGACTCTGACATTCAGTGGTGGTGACGGGGACTGCGTCACGGTGGGCGAGGAGGAACGGGAGTGGGGAATTCAGCGGACTGAGTTCAGGTGATTGGTTATTTTGTCATGGGTCAGGGGAAGGAGCGGCGGTTGGAAGGAAGGCTGAGGGTGCATGGCGGCGGCTAGCAGCTCATCTCTTGGTGCTAACGAGGCACTCGAGCCAAATGACTCGTGTGCATGGTTCTGCTAGCCTCAGTCTCCGGGGAAGCTGTGTGAGGCGGTGGGCAGGCAGCAGGTCAAGAGTTTGGTGCCCTTGACTCTGGCCAGGTGTAAGTAGAGAATGTACAAAAAGAAATAAGTGGTGGCTCTCTCCTTAACATTCAAGTTCAGATGTAAACAAGGCCTCTGGCTAGGATTAAGGGAATGCCCAGCCTAGTAACCCATGGCGGTCTAGCCACAAAGCCATCAGCGGTATTTCAGGGGTATACCTGCCAAGAGGGAGGGGCCTTATCCCTGCTCATACCAGGACAGGAAGGCAGCAACGCCAGGTACCATCCAGTGTGCCACACGGAATCAGTAACAAGTTCTCTCCTGTACTTTCTCCAACAATGATAGAATTAAGAAGTCACCTAGAGGTCTCTCCTTTCTGGAAGCCCCCTCCTGTTACTAGGATGGGAGTGTCTTTTCTCCTTTCTTCTAATAAATCTTGCTTTGAAACTAAAAAAAAAAGAAGAAAACAAAGTCATCTCAGAGGGAGGGCTTCTTGGAGGGGTTGGGGGAATCCCAGAGCCTATGAAACTGTCATAAAATGAAATAAATTTAGTTTAAAGAAAAAAAGAAGTCATCTCTCACCTCACTGAGTTTTTCCTAGCTGTTTGGCAGCCAGAAGGCACACATGGGGCGTGGCCTGATCCCTTCTCGTCTTTTCCATTTTGGCAGATGATACCACCAGTCTGACTGATGCCCACCTGAGCCCAGTCAGGGACAACCTGGGGAAGCAATGGAAAACCTGTGCCCGCAAGCTGGGCTTCACCGAGTCTCAGATCGACGAAATCGACCACGACTATGAGCGGGATGGACTGAAAGAGAAGGTTTACCAGATGCTCCAAAAGTGGCTGATGCGGGAGGGCACAAAGGGTGCCACTGTGGGCAAGCTGGCCCGTGCCCTCTACCAGAGTGACAGGATAGGCCTCCTCAACAAACTGGTCCACCTAAGCCAGAAGTAACCCTGCAGGGCTCCGCTCCCCTGGGAAGAGCTGCCGGCAGTCCTGTTCTCACCCACATGACTTCCGCAGTCATTTCCTGCCTCCAGAGCTGCGGGAGCTCTCCCGCAGCACAGGGATTCAGGAAAACAGGAAGAAGCCATCCCGGCCGGGGCAGCCGCCCCACCAAAACGGAGAGGGGGATGCTGGAGGAGGGTCGTGCTCCTTCGGTTCATGCCACTGCTTCAATTATACTAATCATTCCGTTTCTTAGCGTTGGAACAAGTGAAAAAATCAGTCCACGCAGGCCTCTGTGACCAGCAGGGGATGCCGAGGGTCCGTGCTGCCCACCAGGGAGCTCTGTGCCCTCCAGGAGCAAACCCTGAATCGCTCACTACAGGCTCCGGGGAGTGCACGTGACCGCCGGGCCATTCTGTGAATCGCTAAATTAACCAAGGGTATTTTATGAAATACTGAGGAGGCGGGGTGGGGGGAAGTCGGGAAACCCATCAGAGTTTCTTAGGCAATTGTTGCAAACATGTAGTACTAATTGTGAATGCCACAAAAATGCTTAATTAATTTGGTAAGTTCTTTCCTAGCATTCTGTTTTTGTTGGTTGTTTTTCTGCACAGCCCGGGGCCCCTGCAGGGACAGTGGGTGTTAAGGAGCATGGCTGGGGCTTCAGGGCTAGACACCGTCGAGCTGCCTCCTGGGTTTACTCTGCGGTACCCCAGAAAAGATGCTCTGAAATGAAATAAGATCGCTTGAGAGGCTGCTCACTGTGCCTCCGCCCTCAGCCTTCCCAAGCCACTAGAAACCCAGAGGGAATAGAGGAGCTAGAAGACAGCAGGTGCACGGTGCCGTCCACACACAGGCATGCGGCCCACCTTGCTCTCCGGCACGGTGGAGGAGGGGAGGGAACGGGGATGGTCTGCCAGCTGTCAGAAAGGATTCCGGGGCTTGGCACACTGGCTCTGATTCTGTGACACGCCCAGTCTCACACACACACACACACATTGGGTCTGATTCTGTGACACGCCCAGTCACACACACGCACACACACACACAAGTTGGGTCTGAGTCTGTGTGACACGTCCAGTTACACACACATACCCTTGGGTCTGATTCTGTGTGACAGTGAGTCACGCACGCACAAGCAAAAACGTGCACACGCACACACACTTCCTCCAGACAGTCGTGGTTTTAATCTTCATCATGTCTAGCAAGAATTTCCTGTCCACACTAGAAAAAAAAATTGACCCTGCTGAAGATTGCTAAAGGCCAAATGGTAACAGTGTCAGTTTCAACATTACTGATGGGGTGGCTTTTAAGTTGAAAGTGGGGTATCAACATCTTTTGCATATCCTATAATTAGACTGCCTGGGCCTTTGCTACTCAAGAGCCTGCAGTGGGCCAGGGAGGGCACTGCAGGGGACAGAACCTTCCAGGGTACTGTATGTGTGGAGTGTTCAGCGGAAGGCTTTCTGGAGAAAAGGGACGATGCAATTTGGGGTGAAGCTGAGGTGGATAACTCAGGCCACACCTACATTAGCAGGCACAAATCCTCCGCCTACGTCCAGTTAGAAAGCAGGATGGGAGCCAGACTAGCTGGCCATGCCATTTTGATCATCAACTAGAGAGCCTCGGTTGCTAGCAAATTCCAGCTCATTTCAGGTGTTGGAAACACCCCAAACAAGCCAATGCGAGCCTTATGGTGAGTGAGACATAAATGTTCCCACTTGCTGTCGGAGCTTTCAGACTAGCCTGGCACAGCAGCCGAAGCCCTGCTCAGGTGAAGGTAAATACTGCAAGAACGAAGCTGACCAGCCAGCTGTCACATTCCAAAAAAGGTAACAATCTCAGAAGGAAAAGAACGAGTTTGAGCAACTGCAGAGTGAAAATCCTATGTGCACTTTTGGTTCTTTTTAGTATCCTAAAGAAATGTCGCAAAAATGAAATATTTCATTGCCCCAAACTGAACTGTATTTTTATTAAGAAAAAAATATATATGGCACTTTAAACCTTAAAAATGTGACTGGCTGACTTTACGCTATGGCCTGAAGGACCATCCCTGTTGTGGCATGTCAGGAATTCCTTCTGTTTTAAGGCTAAAGACGATTCCGTGGTCTGGATGTACTGCACCCTGCTTCATCAGCGTCAGGCACTGTAATTTTTCATAGCCTTTACATTAATAATGCTGTTATGATCATTGTGCAAATATCTCCTCCTTTTGGGTGTATTTCTAGAAGTGGAATGGCTGGATCACATATTGTGCATTTAGCTTACGAAAGTCATAGCTGTCCTGCTCGCTGGGGTCCCCAGCCGCACCAACACCATCTCCATTAGTTCTTAACCAGTAGGTCCCGTCCTCAAGGCACGTCCCACCCTAGCAGTGGGCCACAGGGCCGGGGTCTCCCCACACCTCCTCCAGTGGGGGTGCCCCCAGGACACCCACCTTCTGACCTCGCCTCGGAGAGGAGGGTCGCAGTCACCATGGCGACCGGTGGAGGCCGACTTCCATCACAGGAGCCAGGGTGGACTCGGGGCCCCGAGACTGTCTGATCAGGGGTTAAAGAGGGACCCTGAGAGAACAGAGCCGCCGACCTGAGGCCAGCGGAGCCACCTGGGCCGGGCCGGGCGACAGACGTCCAGGGACCGCGAGCATTGTGGCGTCAGAGGGCGGGGCGGGGGCGGGGCGTCGCGCGGGGGCGGAGCCACCTGGGCCGGGCCTGGCGACAGGCGTCCAGGGGCCGAGAGCATTGTGGCGTCAGAGGGCGGGGCGGGGGGCGGAGCGAGGAGCGAAGGCGGGGCGTCATGAAGGGGCGGAGCGAGGCGGGGCGTCGTGACGGGGCGGGGCGCCCCAGGGTCTTGCGCAGGCGCAGTCCCTGCCGCAGCCCTCCAGGACTGTGCGATGGCGCTGGGCTTCGGCGGAGCGTGGAGGCTGCGGCTGCTCCTCGCACAGCTGAGGCCTGGGATCCGTGTTCCCCAAGCCGGGTCGGCAGCCGCGTTCGGGTAATGGCGCGCTCCCCTCCTCGGGGCAGTCCCGCGTCGGCGCGCTTCGGGGGCGGCGGTTCCCAGGTGGGCTCGGACCCGCGAGCGCGCCGGCGGGGTCCGGGCGGGCCAAGTGTTCTTCGAACGCCGGTGGGTCGGCCCAGAACCGACGACCCCCGGGCGGAGCCTGGGAACGGGTGAGCGCCCCCGGCGCCCTCGGCGTCTCCTGGCTTCCACGTGAGAAGGCGGACACCGGGCCTGGCCGCCTGAGAAGCAGGCCTGGCCGCCTGGAGAAGCAGGTGTGGCCGCCTGGAGAAGCAGGCCTGGCCGCCTGGAGAAGCAGGTGTCTGCCCCCCAGCCCCACAGGCGGATAAAACAGCGCCCCGCGACACACACGTTTCTGACCTGCCCCCTTAGTCTCTAGGTAATGAGGCCAAAGTATGCATCTGGCAGCTTACCAGGGCTCCTGGCAAAGTTGGCCGAAGATGCATAGATTTCCCAAGTTTTGCACCAAAAACAAACCTTTCCATCCACTGTTCCGCGGCGAAGCAACGGCAGGTGTGCGCTTCGCTATCAACCAGGCCATTAGGCCCAGGCGCTATAGGGCCACCCTCTCCAACTTGGAGAACTTGATCTCAGAAATCAGAAGGGAAGCTTATTCATGTTCATATTTGATTGGCCATCCTCGGGTTTTGCGGTGAAGTGCTGTGGCTATTTCAGAATTAGTAAGAGCGTTTCAGGAGAAATGATGTCGGGGGGGCACCAACCATAAAGACGAGCCGAGAAAACTGGCGATTTTAGGCACCTTGCTGATGGCAGAAGGACTGAAGCTAGCCGACGGAGCGCGGCTGTGAGAAGGCCTCGAGATGTAACTCATGCAGTTCCTTGATTCTAAACCCAGCTGTAACTCATGCAGTTCCTTGATTCTAAACCCAGCGAGTGGGTTAATCCTGTGAGCAGGCCGCAGCCCAAAGCAGGTCGCTCCGGGGCCAGTGTAAACACCGTTGGCTGGGGTCCAGTGTACGGCTGAGTTGTGTGCCCGGAGCAAAGTTGGGAACTTTGTCCCTCCTGTTTCGTGGTCCCTAGGACCTGGAACTGTTTCCTGGAACTGGCTAATGCAGTTACAGTATTAATAATGGACAGAACCGAGTATTTGCCCAGTTCAGTCTTGGGGTGTCCTGTGAGAGACCGGGTGCACACAGTGAGTGTGGCCTCGGCTGGAGCTTGCTCAGCACACCGGCTGTGCCGGGAGGGCGGCCTTAGGCATTGCTGACTTCGCAAAGCACCCGACGTGGCACCGTTGGCACTGTAACTGGGTTCCTTCCCCCGTGCCCTGGTCTCTGCCCTCTGCCCTCGGCTGCTCTGTGTAAAGCCGGCACACTGCACCGGGGTGCCATTGGCGGGTCCTTTTCTCTCCCCTGCTTCCGAGCTGCGTGAGCGCGCACAGCTGCTGCGATGCCCTAGTCCCAGCCGTCACCCGGGGTTTACCTGGGTGGGTAGTGCGTGAAAGGCCACCCACCGCGCTCTGCGGGGCACACCTGCCGGAAGAACCCTGTGCCAGAGAAGAGAACATGGAGGCGGGAGCTTTGTTCCGTTCCTCTAATTTCTAGAAGCTCTCGCTCGCTCTCTTTTTTAGAATTGGCCTGGCCCCTCTTGCAGTGCGGTGGTTGGTAACACCGCACCCGGCCAGCCTCTCAGAAATGTCTTAATAAACCGGACAAGCAGGCTTGGAGGTTTCCTTGTGTCCCTGTGGCACTTGGCAGCGTCCAGTAGCCCTGTCATCTTGAAAGATAAACCTTTTCTTACCTTTGAAACCGGTTTGCTTCTGTTCAGGCATCATACGCTCCCCTGCCCCACGCCCTGGGGAAATCGCGAGGCTCCCGGCCGCCTGGGTCTGCTCTGCGCGGAGTGCTCAGACAGTGAGGGCCGCGGCGGAGTGCTGGTCACCCCAGGCTGTTGGAGCAGCTTACCCTTGCTGCAAAGCCCTTCGCGGCTGGACCCCAGCCTTGCGGAAGCCTCACGCCCGCGAGGCTGGACACTGGCCTGCTGCTGCCGTGGCCTTGGATCCTGCCGTGTCTCCTTCTAGAAACACCTTCTCGGTGCCCTGGCGCATTCGCTTTTCAGAATTTTGCCATCTTTGCAAGTTCCTCCCACTGTTCCCTTTCCCTCCCCTCACATACCTCATCCTGATCCCCCTGCTCTCCCCCAAGTTACTGCCAAGTCTTCCTCCGCGGCATCGAGTCCCCACGGTGCTGAGCCCTGGGCCGCCTGGTGCGGCTGCCCTGTTGTTTTGCTAGGTTCTGTTTTGTTTTTGTTTTTGTTTTAAGATTTATTTATTTTTAATGGAAAGGCAGGTGTATAGAGGGGAGAGAACAGAAAAAGATCTGTGCACTGGTTCACTCCCCAAGTGGCCGCAATAGCCAGAGCTGGACCGATCTGAAGCCAGGAGCTCTTTCGAGTCTCCCACACGCGTGCAGGGTCCCAAGGCTTTGGACTGTCCTCCACTGCTTTCCCAGGCCACAAGCAGGGAGCTAGATGGGAAGCAGGGTCCATAGAGGATCCCGGTGTGTGCAAGCCAGGACTTTAGCCACTGGGCTACCACGCCGGGCCCAGGAAAAGGATAATAATGAGTAATCGGCATTGTCAGCATGTTCCTGTTAGTAGCTTTAACAATACCCCTTTGTGATATTTGTAGATTATAATTCTGGCTTTACGACAATTCTGTCTTTTCCAGAAGTTATGTTAGTAAGGTTAGATTAGATGTACCTGGATCACACCCGTTTGTTTCTGCATTTCCCACTACCTGAAGTTGTTGAATAAGATGAAAACAAAACAGAAAACAGAATCAGGCTTTGGAAAGAAAAGGCTGCTTCACGGCTGCTTCTCGTCACTGGTCATTTGGATGCAGAAAAAGGAACTCCTGGTTGATTTAAATTTGTCAGCAGGTCAACAGGAGCGCCCCCTTCTGGACCCTGCCCAGCAGCCATAGTGTCCCTTTCTGGAGCCACTGGGCTCCCCACCTGGTAAACCAGCAGGGGGGACCCTGGAGCCCGGTGTGGGGATGGGGGGCCCTGGAGCCCGGTGCAGGGATGGCGGGGACCCTGGAGCCCCGTGTGGAGATGGGGGGACCCTGGAGCCCCGTGCGGGGATGGGGGGCCCTGGAACCCCATGTGGAGATGGGGGGACCCTGGAACCTTGTGTGGGGATGGGGGGACCCTGGAGCCCTGAGCGGGAATGGGGGAGTGGGATGGGGGACCCTGGAGCCCAGTGCGGGGATGGGGGGCCCTCGTGTGGGGTTAGCCCTGCCTGGAGGCCTTGGCCAGTCAAATGCTGAATGATGACAAGGGCTTGTGAGATGAGGCTAGAAGTGGCTGCCGTGTCACTGCAGGGCGTTGTCCCTGACTGTGGCCCTTCTGCAGCTGGCCAGGCGACACAGGGAACCCTCCACCTGCCCAACAGCCTGACATCAAGGCCTTGCCCTGACTGGTCTTGTCATCTGAATGTGCTGGGTCTAGGCAGATGGCTCCCGGCTGGTGTCCTCTGCTTGCCTTGCATGTCACTGTCCTCTGGCAGGCTGCACGTGGGCACCGCTGGCCTGGTGGCCCTTGCTGTCACCCTGCCTCTCCGTGCATTGCAGAGGAGCCCCAGGCTGGCTGCCCAGGAAAATTCAGACGTGACAACGTAGTTATTCCTTAAAAGACGCAGACTCAAGTCATTTTAGGAACAGAGAGTTCAAGAAGCCTGAAGGTCAGACTGGAGCTGGCTCGTGTGTATAAAAGGCCAGGTTCCTTGATTCAGGACTTTATTTATTTATTTATTTGAAAGGCAGAATTGGAGATCTTCCACGTGCTGGTTTACTCCCCAAAGGACTGCACTGAACAAGACTGGGCCGGGTCAAAGCTTCTTACGGCTCTTGCATGGGGAGTGGCAGGGGCCTGAGCACTGGGCGGCGTCTGCTGCTCTCCCAGCCCATTAGCAGGGCGCAGCATTGGACGTGACGCCCGGGAACATGGACTGACACCCATAGGGGCTGCCATGAGGCGGGGGATGGCTTTATCTGCTCTGTCACGAGGCCAGCCCAAAAAGGCCTGGTTTATTATCTTGAATTTGTACTGCCGAGTCATTTTCTTTTGGGATGAGTTTGTTTTGTTTTTAATCATTGTGTTTTTTTCCAGCACCGCAGTGACGGCGGCCAAGGTGACTGTGAATGGCGTACAGCTGCACTACCAGCGGGCCGGCGACGGCGAGCACGCGGTTCTGCTGCTCCCAGGGATGCTGGGTCAGGACAGCTCTGTGGTGCCTCTGTGACGCTCTCGCATGCTGTGCTGTGTCGTCACTGTGACGCTCTGCGTGCTGTGCTGTGTCGTCACTGTGATGCTACTGCGTTACCGTGACGCTCCCGCGTGCTGTGTCGTCACCGTGACGCACTGTGTGCTGTGTTGTCACTGTGGTGCTCTGCGTGCTGTGTCGTCACTGTGACGTTATACGTGCTGTGTCGTCACCGTGATGCTTCGCGTGCTGTGTCGTCACTGTGACGCCCCTGTGTCGTCTTTGTGATGCTCCTGCGTTACCGTGACGCTCCCGTCTTCTGTGTCGTCACTGCGGCGCTCTGCGTGCTGTATCGTCACCGTGACGCTCCTGCGTGCTGTGTGGTCGCCGTGACACCATCACCAGGCCCCGGGCCACGGGTTTATTCCCACTTGTAGTGCTTTGCTGTTTGAAGTCCTGTCTGCTGCAGCCGCACTTGAGCAGCTTAGAGAGCCTTCCTAGCCGGTTTTTCCATCTAAGTGCACTGAGAAGCCACAGTCGCCTGCAGTGGAGAGGTGACGGGGTCCAGGAGGGGCCCACATGAAGAGGGAGATGAAGGAAGCTGGGGTGGCCCACCTGGCTTGCCTGGGGTCCAGCAGTTCCCCACGTGTGAACCTCTGGTACGAGAATCGAGAATGGCGCCCCTGTTGGTGAGGCTACGTTAAGAAAAACCTGCCAGGCTTTTTGAAAATCAGCTCTGGAGCCGTACTACTGTGTTGCCGGCAGAGCCCAGAGCAGCAGTGCAGATGTGGAAAGTTAAAGGGAAATCTGCTGAGAGCACAGGACATCCCGCAGGTGGCTGTGAAGGATGGGGGGTGGCTGCTCCCGTTTTGGATTTAGTCCAACAATCCAACCAGACTTCTCCTCGACAGTAAGTGCTTCTCACTGCCTGCCCCTCCTTCAGGTGCTCCTCCTGTGCCAGGAGCTCCCAGAAGGCCCCTGCTTGGAAGCCCAGAGGTTGGCTGTTGCTGTGGGCGGTTTTCTGAGCGATTCACCTGTGCGAGGCTGGAGCACCTGCAGCACCCTGGGCCGCTTGGAGGGACAGCCGGCTCCCAGGGCACCTGGAGGCGCAGTGGCCTCAGAAGCCAGTGGTTCTTACAAAGAAAACGCCTCCTGCCCTGGACCAAGCCCTGTGCGAGCGCGTGCCTTCCATGCTGTGTGCCCCTGTGAACACGCCGAGCTGCCTGACCTCGTGGGCAGGCCAGGCTCCGCCACTGGCGCTGCCTATCATAGCTGTTGCTTTTTAACTGTTTTAATCAAACTAATTTTATATCTTCCCTCCATGCATACCCCTCCCTCACTCCCAAGATAGATGCTTTAGTTTTCTGGTTTTTTAAAAGATGTGTTTGTTTATTTGGAAGAGTTTACAGAGAGACAGATCATCCATCCACTGATTCCCGCCCCCCCCAAGATTGCCACGGTGGCCAGCCCTGAGCCGGGCTGAGGCCAGGAGCTTCATCTGGCTTGCCTTGAGGGTGGAAGGGCCACACACGTGGGCCGTCCCCTGCAAGGAGGTGGACCTGGCCTAAATTGGTGCGTGTATGACAAGCAAGTACCATTGGCCGCTAATCCACTACATTACAACACTGGCCCAGATTTTCTGGTTTTAAATTATAACTACAAACTAAAACATTTAGAAAGGCCACATTAGTTTAGCAAAAAGACAGCTGGAATTTTAGAATTGTACTTTAACTTGGACCAGATCTCATAAAACTGCATATAAAATTAATATTTCTTTGATTTGTAGGTTACTTCCTTAAGGAAAAATGACGTAGAAGCATAGATGTGTAATTTAGCTTCTATGCAATTTCACTTGTTATTTTTAAAAAGGAAAGGGAAAAAGAGGCTGAAGAGATGCAACAGCCCATCAGCGCCTTTGTCCTCCTCTCGATGGCCACTAGGGGGCGATCGGAGACGGAGCCGAGCGCCCAAATGGCCAGTGGCCGCTCAGTGAATGGACGCAGTGTGCCAGGACCGCTTCCCGATGGCGGGGGAGACCAGCGGCAGTGCTTTTGTGCTTTGAGGGGAAGCGGAGCTCTCATGTGCTGTTTCATTACCTCACCGCTCAGCTGGGCCTGAGCCAGGAGCCTGCAGCTCAGTCCACAACATACATGAGGGACTCAGCCACTTGAGCTGCCTCCCAGAGTCCACATGGCAGGACCCTGGTGTTGGGATCCGGAAATGCCAAGCGAGTCCCGGGATGGCCGTGTGGGGTGTGGGCGTTGCTGTAGGGTGATGCTCGCTTCTGCCCCGCCGTGCCGAGTCGGACACCTGAGGGTAACACAGGGCTCTTTGCAGGAAGTGGTGACAGTGACTTCGGCCCCCAGCTGAAGAACTTCAACAAGGAGCTGTTCACGCTGGTGGCCTGGGACCCTCGGGGCTACGGACACTCCAGACCCCCGGAGCGAGATTTCCCAGTGGATTTTTTCGAAAGGGACGCCAGAGATGCCGTGGATCTGATGAAGGTGGGTCTCGGAGAAGTGACCCGCGGGTGGGAGGGGGACCGGGGCTTCGTTTACTTTGCTTCATTTCTGTTGTCTTTTTTCTTTTACAAAGGTAATATCCTGTAATAATTCAAAGAGTTCAGATAGGTGAAGGCTGAGCTGCCCTCATCCAAAACTCTAAAATCGCTGTGTCCCAGAGTCAAGACAGACATGGTTCCTGAGTCCCTTACCAACGTGCCCGTTCTATGTTAGACATATGTACCGTATGTCCATGTGACATTAGATGTTGTTCAGACTTTACATATGTATGTGTAAATATTCCAAAGTCTGAGAAAAGTCCAAATCACTCCAGTAACCTGTGTGCTGAGGCAGCGGAAATGGCCCCGACTCTGGCCGGTTTGACAACATGCCTGAGTCCCCGGCTGACCTGATGGCATCGAGCTACACCCAGTGCTTTTCCAATTTGCTTTTTTCAGTTTGCTATTTTTTTTTTCATTAAGCAGTTTATCAAGATGGTAGTTCCAGGAAATAAACATTACATCAGTCTTACAGAATACTAGATGGAAAATTCCAGAAGTAAACAGCTGGCAGGTTAAGATGCGCACCATTCCGAGCAGAGCGTGAGCTGTCTGTCACCGGGGACATGGTCATCCCTTTGCCCCGCGTCCCCGTGCGGCCTAGCCGGCTGCCCAGCCTCATCTCATCCAGCGGTCCGCTCCTTGGGGCACCTTGCTCAGGCACGCCCACGTGCGCACGCAGCCACGGAGTGTCCGCCAGTGTCCACCAATGCGGCTGACCGTAGTTCCTGAAGATTCTATCCAGTTGCAAACCGTAGTTCCTTTATGTCCCGGCTCATCCTGTGGAGTCAGGTTTCAGCCACAGTTGCATTTGCCTTGCACTCATGGAGAGAAGCACCATGCCAGCCAGAGGCGGCTTCTGGGACTCCGGGGCTAAAACGGGTCATCCAGGCCGCCCACCTGCACCCTCGCCGCTTGCTGGTGAGGCCCCAGTCCTTCCGGCAGAGAACAGCAATGGCCGGCCATGTGTTGGGTTGTGTCTCTCACAGACGCTGCAGTTTAAGAAGGTGTCCCTGCTGGGCTGGAGTGACGGCGGTATAACCGCCCTGGTGGCCGCCGCCAGGTACCCGTCCTACATCCGCAAGATGGTGATCTGGGGGGCCAACGCCTACGTCACGGACGAGGACGCCAGAATATATGAGGGTAGGTCCGGCCCGCTGGCGGTCACGCTCGCTGCACCTGCACTCCCACTTGGCTCACGTGTTTGCACCCCTCACGCGCTCTCTGGAAGGAAGATGCGTTCTCAGCAGAGCAGCACGGCGGAGCCAACCTAGGCTTTAAAGCTTGCTGTTTGCAGAAGGGCTTTGCTCTGCTGCTCCTGACGCGGCTTCAGGGCCGGGCAGGGTGAGACCCGGGGTCATGACGCCCTCCTATAAAATAAAGGGAGTCAACGGCGGCTCTGGGTCTAAACAAGAAGCCTTATATTTAAAATGAAGGAATCTCTGTGGCAGTTACACTGCTCAAGGTGCTGCTTGAAGCTCTGGGGATTTGAAGAAGCACAGCAGTGGCTGCTTATGCCCAAGCTCAGCCGCCACCTGCTCTGCTCTGAGACAGTGTGACTCACAGAAGCCAGGCTGCGGTGTCTGCCGCCCCACGCCCACTCAGCTCCCAGCGTTGCCGCCCAGGGCCCCTGCTGGTGGCTGTGACCCGTGGGGTCTGCGCTAACCAGGCTCGTGGGAGGAAAGAAGGCTGACCGGGGGCTGAGGTCCCTGGGGCCAGAGGTGATCCTAATCTGGACTTTCCCTCCCACCTACCAGCCTGACCCAGCAGGGCCCTTCTCTTGACCAGCTGCTCTCTGCCCTGAGTCTGTTTCTAGGCACCCCCAGGTGGCACACCCCAGGCTGCAATGTGGGCAGCTGGGATGACTCCTGCACAAGACCCTGGCCTTCAGAGCCTTGCCTGGCGTTTAACAGAAGGTGTCATTTCCCGCCTGGGTTCTCCCTGGTTTGGGCTGTTGGGCAAGTCATGTGACTAATCAGAGCCTGAGTGGCAGGGCTCTGCTGCAGAACCTCGACCCCACTGGGCTCTCCCTTGTAGGGAGCTAGGGGTCCAGCGCTCCTCCTGTTCGCCTGCCTGTCCTCCGGCAGCCATACCTGGCTGGGATGAAGGGGAGCTGCCTTGTGCACGGCGGCCCATCCTACTTGGCTGGGGACCCCTGCCCACTGCCGCCCAGCACAGGATGCCCAGGTCCTCCTGCCCCGCTGCCATGTCAGGGCCCTCAGCACTGCGAAGGCACTGAGGCGTCATCCTGCACCTGTAGTTAATGCCCTGCCATGCTGTGGTTTTCCCTGCAGCCCTGATGACACAGCCATCGGGGCTTGCCGTGTTCAGTCCCTTCTGGCCAGTCGCCCACTGCAGCCCACCGCGGCCCACCTCAGCCCACCGCAGCCCACCACGGCCCACCTCAGCCCAGCTCAGCCCACCGCAGCCCACCACGGCCCACCTCAGCCCAGCTCAGCCCACCGCAGCCCACTCTCTGGAGCTGATCTGCCGGAGCATCTCCTCATGGCGTTGTAACCTTTGGAAGGCCTGGGAGGTCAGGGATGCTAAGAGCCTTCCCCGGCCTCCACCCGCAGTGGGTCCGTTTGTCATCCCTGGTTTTTTCCTGGCCGTCTTAGCTAGAGGCCCGTCAGGTTCAGGGATCGTTTTTAAAGCTGGCTTTTGCGTTGTTGATCTACCCCTGCCGCCTTCTGCCCTGTGCCGTGTGCTTCCTTCTGCTGACTGGGAGCGTGAATGTGCCCCACCCTCCGTGGTCTCCTCGCAGACAGCTCACTGACTGCAGAGCTTGTGCTGACCCACACCGAATGCTAGCAGTCCTCTGAGCGCTGCCGCGTCAGCAGCCTGCAGACCTGATGTCTTACGCTTTTGTTCAGGTCAACAGATTTTCTCGCATTTCTCCAGACTCCCTCTTCACCCATGCTTGTTTAGAAGAATATTCATTTTCCAAGTTTGGAGATTTCCCAGGTGCTTTTCTGTTATCTGCATCGAGTCTGCTCTTGAGCTCAGCAAATAGGCTTTATGTGATTTCCATTCTTTTTCATGTGTTAAGGCCTGTGCTCAGCCCCAGGCTGCGCTCTGCCTTGTCTAAGATTGAACATTTCCTAAACCAGTGTTGTGGGAAAGTGGGTTAAGCCTGTGCTTGCAGCATGCCCGCCATATCAGCACCAGTTCGAGTCCCGGCTGCTCCGCTTCCCATCCAGCTCCCTGCTAGTGCACCTGGGAAGGCAGCAGCTCGTAGCCTTGCTGCTCGTGCCCCTTCCGCCCGTGTAGGAGACTGGCTGGCGCTCTGGACCCCTGGCTTAGGCCTGACCGAGCCCTAGGTGTTGTAGCCATTTGGGAAGTGAACCAGATGATGAAAGATGAGTTTATCTCAGTCTCTCTCTGTCTCCTTCTGTCACTCCACCTTTGATATAAATAACACTTGACACTTGACCCTGTCCTTCACCTTGTACACGCCCCTCACTCGCTCGTGCTGCCCCAGGTTTCTCTCTCAGTGAATCGCCCCCTGTCCACCAGGAAACCAGGGCCCAGAAAGCTGCCCGAGGCCCTCCTGGCCTCCTCACGGTGACGGTGCTCAAACGCCACCCCCCCCATTCCCTCCTCTTCCTTCTCCCGTTCTCCTGGCCCTTTGCCTCCTGGGGTAGTGTGCCCACTGTAGCAGAATTTTCTTCCTGAAGCAAAATTCTCATCCTATTTTGAAGTCCTTCAGTAACTTCAGAAAGGCCCAAGCAGCCTGACTGCCCGTTCCAGCCTTGCCCACCAGCCTTCCTGTGTTGGCTGCCTGCCCCAGCCTCACCCACCGGCTTTCCCATGCCTGGCTGCCTGCACCAGCCTCGCCCACCAGCCTTCCCATGCCTGGCTGCCCGCACCAGCCTTGCCCACCAGCCTTCCTGTGTTGGCTGCCTGCCCCAGCCTCACCCACCAGCCTCACCCACCAGCTTTCCCATGCCTGGCTGCCTGCACCAGCCTCGCCCACCAGCCTTCCCATGCCTGGCTGCCCGCACCAGCCTTGCCCACCAGCCTTCCTGTGTTGGCTGTCCGCGCCAGCCTCACCCACTAGCCTTTCCATGCCTGGCTGCCCACTCCAGCCTTGCCCACTGACCTTCCTATGTTGGCTGCCTGAGCCAGCCTCGCCCACCAGCCTTCCCATGCCTGGCTGCCCGTGCCAGCCTTGTCCACCAGCCTTCCTGTGTCCCCCTTTGCCCTCAGAGTTCATGTGTGTTCCATGTCCCTGCAGCTGCCGCTCCTGACACCAGCCTGCCCCCGCCTGCTGTGCTGCATTGCCGCCACATCTCCTGATGCCAGCTTCTGCTGGCCTCCACTCTAGCCACAGCCTCCTTAGCAAACCAGTCCTCTCCCAGCTCTCAGCACCCTCCGCGCTGGCATCCCTGCTGGGTGCTCCTCCCTCTGCTGCCTGGTGCAGGCTTTCACGGCAGCCCTCCGTCCTGGGCACTGCCTCAGTGGGCCTCAGGCACTGCTGTGTGGACAAGCGCCTGCGTGCCATGGCTCTGTTGTGCTCCTGTGGGTTCTCCCCCCGGCTCTGCTGCCCTTCCCAGCCTCTGTCTCCACTGCCTGCGTCCTTAGCCCGACCTGCCAGTGCAGCGGAAGCTGCGTGTTCTCTGGAGCCCTGGACACATGGCTGCCCCGTGGTTCCAGGCTCATTGTGTGTGTGCTGTCTTCCAGCCATGTGTACCATGTTACACTGCTGGCCTCCGTGTTCTCCACGTGGACGCCTCCGTGGCTGGGTCCTCTCGCATTTCGCCCAGTGGTTACTCTATGGCACACTTCACCCAGTTCCCAGATGCCAGCTGGGTAGCTTGGCGCTAGATTTTCTTTTGAGTTGCCTCGCACATACCTTGACTTCTATGTGTGTAAAACACCCATGAATCTTCCTCGAGTCCTGTTCTTGCTCTAAAATTTCTTATCTTGGTCAATGATGTCCGTCCCCCCACCCTCCGCGCGTACAAGTGATACACAGTGCCCACTTATCTCTGATTTCCTTTATTACAATTCCTGTTGCCTGAGGCGAATCAAATCTAAAAATTTTAGGTGGAAAATTCTGAAAGCAAATTATAAGTTTTAAGTCGTTATATTAGAGTTATCTTGCATTATTCTTGTTACTAACCTCCTGTACTGCAGTAGTGGCTCTCTATCTTAGTCTCTCCCAGTGCCTGTTGTGAGTTTAAGTCTCGGGAATGTTTGCACAGGAGAAAGCATGGGTGGGTAGGCTCGGCGCCATGCCCCGTTCAGATGTTCGGAGAGGTGCTGACCAAGCTGCTGTGAACGGCGTCTTCCCTGGACCGCAGGCCCGTGGAAGGCAGAGCCCGTGTCTGCCATGCCTCACATTTAAGGCTGCAAGTACTGTTTTCTGGGTTAATTCATTAATTAGTGCTGAGTGGACACGCTTTCTTCATGAAGGTTCCACTGATGGATAACAGCTATAGTCTTTGAAAAAGAGACACCAGTGTGTTTTGGTGGGGAATACAGTTTTGGCTTTGGATCAGCGAACTGATGCGAGTGACCTGTCCCAGAACTTCACTGTGAAACATGCTTGCTACTGAGTTTCCAATGGTCATTATGCCTTGGGCTAACAACAACTTCCTCTTAAAATCAGGTAGTGCAAGCGAATGAATGAATGAATGAATGAATAGAGAGGGTGCTGTTAGGCGCTTGCTGTGGTGCGCACGCTGTCCGTTAGCTGCCTGCTGCTCCGTCCGTGCTGCTGTAGTCTTTGCTGAGAACACTGTAGCTCGGAGAGGTGGCTGCGGGCAGTCAGGCCCCGGGCAGGCTAGCTCCCACACTGCAAGTTTATGGAAGTTAGCCACTTCCTCAGCGCAGTGGGGGCAGGGCCCAGGAGAAGGTGGCGCCCGGCTCTGCTGCTTCCCCACGGAGTCTGAGGTGAACATCTGGCCGCCTCCAGCTGCAGCTGGACTTCCTGCCCCTTGAACTTGGGTGCTCTTGCCACCGAAGTCTCAAGCCTTGCCTCCATGTTGCACATCCCCAGAAACCCCTCTAGCTCTGCCCGCCCGCTGTCCTGCCTTGGTCTTCAGAAACTCCCCGTGTCAGACATGCGCTAACATGATCCGGCCCTTGATGCCACAGGGAACTTCCTTTTTTCCCAATGACTAAAAACATAATAGAAGAGTATTTGAAAGTCATAGAAGGGCCTGGCGTGGTGTCCAGCAGCTAAAGTCCTCGCCTTGAATGCGCCAGGATCCCATATGGGCTCCAGTTCTAATCCCAGCAGCTCCACTTCCCATCCAGCTCCCTGCTTGTGGCCTGAGAAAGCAGTCAAGGATGGCCCAAAGCTTGGGACCCTGCATCCGTGTGGGAGACTTGGAGGAAGTTCCTGGCTCCTGGCACCTGGCTTTGGATTGGCACAGCACTGGCTGTTGCGGTCACTTGGGGAGTGAATCATCGGATGGAAGATCTTCCTCTGTCTCTCCTCCTCTCTGTATATCTGACTTTGCAATAAAAATAAATATCTTTTTAAAGTCATAGAAAATGGGATTAAAATAATTTTTTGGTGCAGTCAATTTTGAAATAGGTGTGTGTAGATTTTTTTCATCATAGGTATACGTTTTCCATGAATTTCAGATTTCATGGATTCCAACATTTTTTTTAAGATTGATTTTACTTTTATTGTAAAGTCAGATATACAGAGAGGAGGAGAGACAGAGAAGAATATCTTCTGTCTGATGATTCTCTCCCCAGGTGACCGCAGTGGCCTGTGCTGCGCTGTTCTAAAGCCAGGAACCAGAAACTTTCTCCAGGTCTCCCACGCAGGTGCAGGGACCCAAGGCCCTGGGCCTTCCTCGACTGCTTTCCCAGGCCACAAGCAGGGAGCTGGATGGGAAGTGGAGCTGCCGGGATTAGAACCGGTGCCCATATGGGATCTTGGTGCGTTCCAGGCAAGGACTTTAGCTGCTAGGCCACCGTGCTGGGTCCGGATTCCAATGTTTTTCACACCAAAATAAGTTGACCTTTTAAGTGCAAATGTTCTCTAAGAACATTTGGAAGTATCTTGGCGTGTGACACCTGGGGTGCAACAGGCCTTGTGAGACCAAATCGTGGCAGCAGTGTGCCCCCCTGGAGCCAGGCTGCCCTGCTATTCCTTTGCTGGAGGCACACCTGCTCCCCAGCCCATGGCTCCACTCCAGGCTGGGCCTGCACATCAGCCGTGTGTGTTTTTGAAAGCAGTCTGGTTGGATGCCTTTGTATTCCTGAGACATAGCTGCTTCGTGAATTTCTGAGCTCTGCAGACATGTTCAGCCTGTGTGTGACTTCGGGGCATGGCGAGTCTCTGTGTTCTGCATTGCTAAGATTCACCCGGTGCCACTCGTAGGCAGCTGCTATGCGCTGGTTGGCACTGTTGCAGCCGTCCCCCTGGGCAGGCACGGCAGGTTTGCTTACCCCTTCTTTGCCGTGTTGCCGGAACATTTCTGTGCCGAGTCCTTGGGTGTAGCAGCAGCGAAGCCCGCCAGGGAAGGTACCGCATCACAAACAGGTTGTCCCAGCACAGGAGCTGTACGCTTACGCTGGCAGCGTGTGTGGGTCTCCAGCTCACACCTGCAGCAGGACCTGGGAGTTGGCACACTGAGGTCCTGGCCTGTCACACGAGCACCAGCTGTTTTCTCTTTTGTGGTCTTAATTTGCATTGTCTTGTTACTGATAAGATTGAGCATCTTTATAAATGTTTATTCACCCTTTGGGTTTCTTCCACATGAAACCTGTTGATGGCTTTATTGAAGTTATTAAGTGACATTCAAGAAGTGTATTTTATTTGTGTCAGGGGCAGACACACATCTCTTCCCCCGGTGCAGGCAAGCAGAAACGAAGCCCTAACCCAGGTCCCCCGCAGGAGTGCAGTGGCCCACCTGGTTGGGCTGTGACTTGTTGACTCCTCGGGTGTGCAAGGCAGGAAGAGAGGCTGGACTTGAATCCAGTTATTCCAGTATGAGCTACAGGCTTCCCCAGGAGCACCTTGAAGGCCAGGCACCCGCACCCCATTGTGTGGCATCACCCCATTGTGTGGCATCGATATAAATGCAATACAGTGTCTCTAGAAGAAAATATAACAAAGGAATGGACAGCTAAAGACCTTGCACTGTCACAGTGTTACTGGCACACGATTTCATGTTGTTTTAGAGTGTTTTTGATCGTAGAATTAATAACCCTTTGAGAGGAGTTTGGTTGTAGATGTCATTCCCTGGCTTGTGGCTCGCTCTTGCTCTTCCTATGTGGAATTGCACGTTCTCATCCCAGGGCTGGTTTTCTCCTTGGCGTGCAGAGTGGCTGAGAGTTGGCTTACAGATTCCTCGTCACGCGTGCCAGCTTCTCCACTCACCGTGCGCTCCCATCCCAGCCGCTCCTCCCAACAGTGCTTCTTGGCTTCCTGCAGTTACTCCTCAGTTCCTTAGGGCCAGTCCCAGCCTTCCCCGGCAGTGTGTGTGTCTCAGCTTGGTGGTTGAGAGGGGCCGGCAGCGCCCCGCCTCCCTGCAGCCCCCTGCCGCCGCCAGCAGCGGGGCTGTCTCCAGGGCGCTCTCCCGCCCTTCCTCACATCTTCCTTTCACCTCGGGCATCTGCTTCTGAGTTGGGTCTGAGCGCAGGCTGCGTTTCGTTCGTCCTGCTCTCCCCAGGCAGCCCAGCCGTGGGTGTCACCTGTCACCCTTGCTCTAACTCCTGGCTCTCTTCTCCTTACAGCCATTTGCACACGCCTCCGGCCCCCAGCTGCCATTCACTGCTGCAGCTCCAACAGTGCAGCAAGAACACGTTTTATGAAAGATCTGGTTGTCCCATTGCCCTCTCCTGAGGCAGCGGACTTTAGCAGTGGCTGTCTTCATGCTGTCTTTTTCTAAAATGGTTGATGTTTTTTGTTAAAAATGCAGGTTTAGGGAGTGAAACAGTGAGACAGGGAAGGAGCAATCTTCCATCTTTGGTTCACTCCGCAAATGGCTGCAGCAGCTGGGGTTGGCTCAGGCCCAGCAAGGAAGCAGGCTCCGGTGGGGTCTCCCACATGGGCGGCGGGGGCACAAGTACTTGGGCCATCATGGTATATTTGCAGGATGCCGGATCAGAAGTAGAACAGTGGGGACTTGAACCAGCACTCAAAAGGGATGCTGCGTCTACACTCCCCCTGCCCTCAGGCACAGAGGTCCCGCCCTCTCCAGTCACCTTGGCTTCCCTCCCAATGCCTCCTGCCAGCTGCAGACACCAAGGCCCCCTCCCGCGGTGGCATCCCCCCTCCCAGAGAGCGCTTGTATTGTAACCAGCAGCTCACTGTGCAGGCGCTCCATCCCCGAGCCCACAGCGTACATGCAAGTGCCTGGACTGTGTGGAACCCACTGTAGACAGATGTGTGTTCTGTCATCACTGCCGGGTGGTCTTTCAGCTGGATCGCTTAGCAAAGACACTGCACATCAGGCTCACTCAGCAATCATGAATGTCAGAGCTTTCAAATCTTACGTTAGTGCTTAAAGAAATCCCGAGGGCCGCACTGTAGCACAGGGGGTTAAGCCCCTACCTGCAACACTGCAATGTGGATGCCGGTTCATGTCCCGGATGCTCCACTTATGATCTAGCTGCCTGCCAATGCGCCTGGAAAATCAGTGGAACGTGACCGAAGAGCTTGGCCCCCTGCACCCACATGGGAGACCCCAAGGAGGGTGTGGGCTCCTGGCTTTGGCCTAGCACAGGCCCGGCCATCGCTGCCGTTTGGAAAGTGAACCAGCAGATAGGAGATCTTTCTCTCTGTCTTTTCCTCTCTCTGTGTAACTCTCCCGTTTTAAATAAGTAACTGAATCTTTAAAAAAAGAAAAAAAACTAGGAAAAGACTGGGCCAAGTATCTACATTTGTTGGTGCATTTAAAAATTAAGTTTTAGATACTATTCTTTGCTACAAATGATTCATCTCTGATGGAATTTAAAATTAGCCTTTTGCATCTATTTTTCCTTCAGTAGCAGAAATTAGAATAAATCCTTTGTGTTTATTTTCTTGTGTACAGAAAAGTGAGATTCATGGGAAAAACAACAAAGCCTCCTGTTACAGGTACCCAGGCCCTCTAAGCCCACCCAGGGGGTCGGCATGAGCAGGCTCAGGGGGTCGGCATGAGCAGGCTCAGGGGGTTGGCATGAGCAGGCTCAGGCAATTGCAAATTAGAGATGTCTGGGACGCCTTGGGGGAGAGTGCATCTCTCCTGAACCTGTGCAAACTTACTTTTTCCTAAACCCCCAGGGTGTGACAAGCGCTCACATGGCGTTGTAAGTCACTTAGAGGGACTGCAAGCCTGTGGGAGGGTGTGTGCAGCTCCTGTGCAGACGCTGAAGGCATTTTCAGCACTTGAGCATGCGTGGCTTCGGGCCTCCTCGGCACACATAGCGCGGGTCTCCAGGGCTGCTGGGGTGTCAGCCTGACGTAGGCAGTCCTAACTGGAGGACTGTTCCCTTTGTTTGCCCACCTATAACAGGGAACATCAAGTGCTGGTCTAATTTCACTCAAGTGGGCCATGTTGATTGTGGGGCCGTCTTGTGGGAGACACTGAGGCCGCGGTCATGGAAACGCTGCTAGCAGTGCTAAGCAGTGTGGCTGGAGGGAGGGTACCTGGTGTCCCTGGGACACCTGGCTGACATGAAGCTTGTACTGTGTGGGTGCCAGTGAACGGGGCTCCGCGGTGGCTGGGCCTGGGACATTTAAAGAGGACCCCTTCACGTGCAACTGAACCCCTCCTTGCTCGCTCTTTTTTCCAGGTATCCGGGATGTCTCTAAGTGGAGTGAGAAAGTAAGGCAGCCCCTGGAAGCCCTGTACGGCTATGACTACCTTGCCAAAACCTGTGACCAGTGGGTGGACGGCATACTGCAGTTCAAACGCTTCCCAGAGGGTAGGTTCATGGACTACTGACTGGTTCCTTTGCAGAGCAGAGGATGCCTGGGTCCCCCACTCGTGTTCCTGAATTCCCTGCTACCTTCCTGGCCAGAGTGTGAACAGAGGCATGGATCACGGCAGGCAGTTGCGTGGCACTTGCTTGGTCCTTGCATGGCAGGTCTGCCTTAGCTGGAGGCCAGACAGTGTCACAAAGGCCCATCTCGTGTGTCCTTCCCAGCAGGCTCATCCTTTTCCTTCTGTGTGCATCCTTCCTTTGCATGTGTGATGACAAAGTAATTCTCCAGAAGCCCCAGTTTCTATTTTGCTGATTTATTGTCATGCAGTTGAAAGAGTGACATAAAGAGCTCCACGCCCTGGTGACTCTCCACATGCCTCCAGCAGCCAGAGTTGAGGCACAGAACCCACCACCAGGGACGGAATCCTGGTTTCTATTGTGGCTGTCAGGGCCCCAGGCACTGAGCTGGCACCTGCTGCCTGTCAGGTCATGGTGGCAGGAAGCCGGTTCCAAAGCAGAGGTGCAGAACCCGATTCAGCACTGATGTGGGATGTGTCCCAGGTGGCAGCCTAACCTGACATGCCACCGAGCCTGCCCCATTCTATTTTCCAGTTCCAGAACAAGCAGGGCAGAGCCGGGTCCATGCCATACTGCCCACTGTGTCCTTGGTCATTAGGGCAGACAAGGAGGCCCTTCTCTCTGTCCTGGTCCTGCCCCTGTGAGGCAGGACCACCCATCACTCAGAGCCCGTCATGCAGTGCGTGGGACCACCACACCTCCCTGGTGTGAGATGGCGATGATGGGCACACACAGGGGCATGGATACTCATGTGGCGTGGAGTTAGCCAGGCCTGGGACCTGAGTTCTTCCTGGACCACTCAGCTTGCTGTAGGGACGTGTGTGGGCAGCTGGCTAGCTCCTCTAGACTGCAGTTCCTGTGTGAGACGTGGCCGTTGCTGATGCCAGAGTGGGGCTCAAAGGAGCTAATATGAGCTTGACTCTCCGACACAACACATGCCTGGTCAAAGATTGTTACTGCTAATTTTATAAAAGTTCTTACTTCAGTATGGTACATATTAAATGAGTTAACACATAACTGCTGTGTTTACTCAGACATGCTAGTGAGTACTCTGCAGCACGGGCTTTCACCATCATCTTTTGGCTATGAAATTAGCAGTCGCATGTCACTCCAGGGCCAGGAATGGTCAGCTTCAGAGACCCGGAGGGACGTTTCCCAGGCCAAGCAGGACACTCTCGCTTCCCTGTGTCACAGGGAGAAAGGGCAGGAGGCCGCCTGGGGAGTGCTGGAGTCTTAAGCTTCAAGGCAACTCCGGGAATTCAAGGTTAGCCCTGTCCTTATCCTGAAACTCAGTGAGGTTAAGGAGCTACCAGGGCTCCACAGAGGCAGGGGCCAGAGCTGGGGCTCCAAACGGGGGTCAGTGCCGGGGCTCCAGATGGGGGTCCGTGCCGGGGCTCCATGGAGGCAGGGCCAGAGCTGGGGCTCCAGATGGGGGTCAGTGTCGGGGCTCCATTGAGGCAGGGCCAGAGCTGGGGCTCCAGACGGGGGTCCGTGCCGGGGCTCCAGACGGGGGTCAGTGCCAGGGCTCCAGACGGGGGTCAGTGTCGGGGCTCCATTGAGGCAGGGCCAGAGCTGGGGCTCCAGACGGGGGTCAGTGCCAGGGCTCTACGGAGGCAGGACCAGAGCTGGGGCTCCAGACGGGGGTCAGCGCCAGGGCTCCACGGAGGCAGGGATTGGCAGCACCAGGACCAGCACTGGGGCCGTGTCACAACAGTTGCAGACAAAGCGGGGTCAATGCCAGGCCATCTCACATGTACATTCCGCAAGTTGCAGAGGCATCACCAGTGCAGAGAGCCCATTTGCTGCTTGCACACTGTCCTCTCATCATGCCTGCACACACTGGAGGCTGCCCAGGGCCCTGCCAGCCATGTAAGAGGTGACTTAAAGGGACAAGCTTAGCAGGTGTGGAACATTGCCTGGGCACTGCTTTGTGCAGCAGGGGCAGCTGCCCCAAGTAGTATAGAGATCTGAGCGACTTGCATGTATTTGCTATCCTTGCTGTTTTACATGAACTGGGAACTTTGGGCAGGCGAAGCTGCTTGTTCGCTAGGAGAGCTTAGAACTTAGCAGGAAAAAGAGAGAGAGAAATAGACAAGGATGCACAGACACTTCCGACCCCAGACACAGTCACATCCAGGCCACTGCAGTTACAGACAAGGAAGCAGGTGCAGCGAGGGGCGGGGTGCAAGGAGTTGTGTCCCTCCACACAGTCACACTAAGGCAGTTCCTCGTGTTGCGTGTGTTCCAGGCAGCATCTGTCGGCAGCTGCTGCCGCTCGTGCAGTGCCCCACCCTGATCGTGCACGGCGAGAAGGACCCGCTGGTCCCACGTTTCCACGCTGACTTCCTGCATGAGCACATCAAAGGGTCACGGTGAGTCCCCTGTCGCCAGAGCCCGGGAGTCAGTGCGAGGAGCTGCAGATGGGGCAAGAGGCCGGAGGTGGAGGGCGGACGGAGGCCTCTGCTTGGTGCTCGGATGGCCAGCGGAGCTCACAAGGCTGCGGCTCCAGCGTAGTGCTGACTGTTGAAAGATAAAGCAGTTGTTCATTGAAACAACTATGTGTCATTTGGAAACTTGCAGTTGGGTTTTTGGTCGTCAGTCACTACCTGCAGTAAAAAAAAAAAAAAAAAAAAAAAAAGTACACATAAAACCAAAAAGGGAAACAGATTCCCCTTGGCTCGCTGCCCGCTGGAGGCTGTGCTCACTGGCACTGCCTTGGCACATAGATGCAGTCACGTCCAGCTCACTGTACTTAGGCTGTGGGTGTGGCGTGTTGACTCACCTTGGATGCCTACTATAACTAGGACTTGTCAGTCAGACCGCACGAGTGACCTCACCAAGCCGCGTCAGACACAGCACAGCCGATAAAGCAGCAGGCGCAGGTCACCAGCGCTTTGTACTCTTCTTCCTGCCGGCCAGTCTTAGACATCACATAACTTGTAAACACTCCCCAAACTGTGTGGAGTAGCTGCTAGAGCCCCCCTAACCGGGGTCCGCTCGCAGCACACCTGGCCAGCCAGTCCCCGACACTGCAGTGGCGGGAGGAGGCGGTGTTGACTGCAGTGCACGATGCAGGCAGCCACGCAGCCCAAGTTCAGGTTCCAGCATCCTCCAGGGTGGGAGGCAATCAATTTCCGTTCATGGTTGGAGGGGCACAGTGCTTGGCCAGCTGGAGTGTGACCAGTGGCAGTGCCTGGTGTGTGTGCCCTTTAGGGGTCACTGGTGAGGGCCAGTGTGTTCCTGTTGCTCTGTGAGCTGGGCCACGCCCTCCAAGCACAGGCTGGCACTGGGGTGCCGACCCACACTCTCCCAGCACAGCTGGCACTGGGTGCCGACCCACGCCCTCTGAGCACAGACTGGCACTGGGGTGCTGATCCTAGCCCTCTGAGTACAGGCTGGCACTGGGTGCCGACCCACACCCTCTGAGTACAGGCTGGCACTGGGTGCTGACCCTAGCCCTCCGAGCACGGGCTGACACTGCAGTGCTGAGCATAGGAACAGTTTCAGGAGCTCCAGGCCTCAGCTGCAGGAGTGATCACCTCAGGAAGGGGAGGAAAGGCCACCCCAGAAAGTCAGCAAGCATGGACTTACTCTTTCCCGTCCATTTCTGTGGGAAACACGCCTTGCAGTAAACGCTTTGGCCGGTTTGTGCTGGAGCTGTTACCAAGGTGGAAATTTCCAGTTGAAGGAATTCTTTGTTTACATGTGGTAGATGCCTACCTGGAGGGAGGGGGAGAAAGTGGGAGAAGCAGCCTGAGTGTTTCTCTAAACAAACTCCCTCGCAAAAGGAGCGTCCTGGGAGCCCGGAGCCCTTCCCGGAAGGCAGGTGCTTCTCACTTGCCCCAGGCAGCCTCCTTTTGAAGTGTAGGCACTGAGGACCAAGGCTGCACCCAGCCCCTGCACCTGCAGGGAGAGCTGTGGCAGGAGCGGCCCCGCCTGCTTGCCGTGGTCTTCTGAGCGTATTCTAGCAAGGGGGCTGTGTGGGAGCTTAAGATATACACAGGTGTGGTACTTGCAGTAACATGCAGTTATAAACCTTTATCATTCTAGTGTCTGAATAACATTTTTAAAAACTTTGAAAGGCATCTCTGTTTCACATATTTTCTGCTTCTTTTACCACTAAAGCCACATATCAATTAAAAATAACCACCTGGCCAGAATAGAGTGGGAGAAGGACAGGAGTTGGGTCAGGGTTCTGCTATGGGTGGCTGCACAGGTTAGCAGAGACGTATCAAACTGGACTTCTATACAATTGTAAGTCATGGTCATGGTGCAGAATTCAAATAGTGCTTTCGTACTTCCTTTGGACTTGCTTGTTTTATTTGGAAGGCAGATTTACAGAGAAGGAGAAGCCAAAGAAACAGTTCATCACTGGGCCAGTCCCAGTGGCCACTGGGCTGGGCTGGGCTAAGGCTTGCTGCTCCGTCCAAGTCCCATGTGGCGGTCAGGGGCCCCAGGGCTTGGCCGTCACTGTGGCTTCCTGGGAGCATCAGTCGGGAGCAGCCAGGACCTGACTGGTGCTGAGAGCGGATGCTGACGTCATAGGCAGTGGCCAGCCCCCAGACCACAACACCAGCCCTGTAGTTGTGGCATTATTGAGACTTCCAAAATTGTGCTCTAAAGTCTCAACTTTTATAATTTTTAATTTTTCATATATATGTGATGTGATGCTCTCAAATAGCATTTTATATTTTAAAAGGGATTTTCTGTAAATATCTAGCTGTGTCTCACAATAAACTTGTGAAAACCACATTTACAGGTGGGCCGTCAAGGTGCTAAACAGTCAGCCAAGGCTGCATAGCTGCTCAATGACGAGTCCAAGGCCTTTTCCCTCCTGTGGAGTACACGTCCAGCCAGGGCAGCCTCCGCGCGTGACGGGCAGTGCTGGGCGGCCTGGCTAACTGTCTGCCAGCGCAGAAGTGACAGGCTTTTGCGGACACGTGCAACGAATGCAACGGTCCCTGAAAGCAGAGTCGGTAAACGTGAGGAAGTTTAGTTTCAGCATTCTGTTCCACTCCCATCTCCTAGCAACGAATGCATCAATATAGGAGGAAAGGTTCCCTTCTGGGAGAGATAATAGTTATGTCAGTGTACTGTTGATGAGCAGTGGGTTGAGTGTAATCGGAAACGATCATTTAAGATTGACGTAGAAGGGCATCATTGTGGCATAGCTGTTAAAACCACTGCCTGTAATGCCAGGATCCCATTTAGGTACTGGTTCGTGTCCCCGCTGTCCCACTCTCAGTCCAGCTCCCGGTTAATAGTTGGAAAGCAGCAGAGGATGGTTCAGACGCTTTGTCCCCGACCGCCCGTGTGGGAGACCCAGAATCTCGCAGTTTCTGCCTGGCCTAGCCTCAGCCCTTGCAGCCATCTGGGGAGTGAACCAGCAGATGGAAGATCTGCATGTCTTTCCTTCTCTGTCTGTGACACTGCTTTCCAAATAAATAAATAAATATGTAAAAGTAAAATGAAATAAAATAAAATTAGCTTGACCATCTCCCTGTACTCAGTGAGCCTTTCTTGTGGGGCCTCAACCTGCCTGCAACTTGCCTGGCTCTTACTGGTCTCTTCGCTGTCCAGCAGTGAGGAAATTGGTGCACAGAGCCGGTCTTCACACACATGGACTGCTGACTGATGGTCAGTAGCTTTTTTGTCTGTGTTTTTCAACGTGCAGAGGACCCCATTGTAAGTTGAAGAGCATCTGTGTTTTCTCATAGTTTAGAGCCCAAGGTCAAAGTTTCTAAAAGCCTGCAAGCTCCAGACCCATGGAGAGCCGGGCTTTCCATTTTGCACTGGATTCCAAAGGCAGGAAACACTAGTGCCCCCATTGGAAGGCCATCCGGCAGGGGGCGCTCCCTCCTCCCATCTGATGGCAGGACAGGCCCGCACACAGCAGGGAGGACAAACACCTGTCCCCAGGCACTGAGTCCAGTGTTGGTGTCATCCAGAGCCACCCTCTAGGTACACCCAGAACACCGTCTGACCAAACGCCTGAGCACCTGTGGTCCGTTCATGTTGACACATGACATTAACCATCGCAGTGTGGGACAGCCCAAGGGTGATCGCTCCACTCCGCAGAGGTTTTGGCTGTGTGTGTGTGGGGGGCGGGGGGGTGGCGAGAGGGGTCCTGGAGGGGCAGGGGGCAGCAAGGGGCATGACCAGCTCGCCAGGCAGTGGGCTCCATGCTGTGCACAGGCTAGGTCACAGAAGGGAGAGTAGGGCCTCTTTCTGCCATTCCTGTGGCTCCTCCACACCTGCCCAGCAGTGACGAGATGGCCTCCAGGGCAGCTCCGACCTCCCCACTGCTGGGGTAGTCAGTTGGTCAATGTGGGACAGACTCATGCTGGAAACCACAGCTCGTGTTCCGCCAGGATGTTGGGGAGGGAGGTACCAGAGCTGGGGCAGTGCCCAGCTTCTGCTTCTAGACCACTCCCATCCTGGGGATGATACCCCCTCTTTCTGCACCCCACCCCTTGCTGTCCCTGGCGCCACTCCTGACCTCTCCTTTAACCACTCACTGTCCACGTGGGAGGCAAAGAGTCGGTCAAGAGTCTCCATCTGGCCACATCACAGGATCAACTCCACACAGAGCCTGCCAGCTTTCAGAGTCCAAACCTGTGTGTGTGCAAAGTACATGCCAGGGAGTGTCACCTGCCCCACTGGGCACAGTGCCCTGCTGGAGGTGGGAGCCTTCCCTTCACACTCACCCACAGCCAGGGCCTCCCCCTGCCAGCTGCCGGCATCTCTTAACTGCCTACTGTGTGCTGGCACACTGTGTGGGTCCTCCTGTGACACCCTCACCATGATTCTGTGAGAAGCTCCTCCCGTGGAGTGAGGCTCTGGATGGTGACAGTCCCTCAGCGTGGCTCTGTGCGAGCAGCGTCAGGCCTGTGCACACGCCTCCCATGGCTCTCCAGCTGCCACAGGAGACAGCTCATGCTGCAGACGAAGGCCTCGCCCGGGTCCTGGTGCCCAGCCTGGGAAGGACCTCTTCGTCCATGTACCACATGAGAGCATCTGCCAGCAGACCCGGCCTGCCCGGGAGGCGGCCAGTCTAGACTACTGTGTCGCCAGCCTAGCAGCCTCTTGGGGCTAAGACATGCGTCTGCTTGAGAAAAGGAACTTGTCCCTGACATGACTTCTGCGTCCCATGGCCCTGGCCTGGCTGGTTCAGGGCTGAGAGCAGGCCCAGGACAGAGTTCAGGGCTGTGCCCCTCCCCAGCTTTGGCACTAGAAGGGGCTTGTGGCTCCCCCTCCTTCACTGCTTTCCTCAGGGCTTTTTAAGGGGAGCAGCATGAGAGACAGGAGGCTGCTGCTGTGGGCCCCCAGGTTTGGGGCATAACAGGGGCACCTTACACGGGAGGGGCGCGCTGTGGCCCCAGTGCTGTCTGGGGTCAGTGGCAGAGGTGCCAGCAGCCTCCCCGGGTTTCCAATCTGGAAACTGGTGGGGGATTCCTAAGTGACGAAGCTGCAGCACCTTGCTCCTGGCCTCTGACAGTCTGTCGCCCAGGGTCACGTGGGAGCCCAGAAGCCCAGCAGGACTTGCTCAGGCGGAGCTCCAGGGACCGCTGGCTGTCCTGAGACCAGATGGACTCCTGTTCCTCAAGAGATCTGCAGTCCTGTCTCTAAAGTGCCAGCTGCCGTAAGGAAGCTGCCCCGCACACAGGAACATGGGTTACCCTGTCCATGTGGGACGGGGTCGGGGTGGGGGGCAGCATGCCTAGAGAACTGTGAATGTTAGAAAACCACTCCCCGGGCCGGGTGTTTGATTTTGTTGTTGTTTGGGTAAGAATCTAGAGTTGGGATATGTGTGTATATATGTGTTAGTTAATCAGCTGTTTGGAAGGCAGTGTGTGGTAGGGAAGAAGGAAGGATTTCTACTCAGCAGCTCACTCCCCAGTGAGCCAGGAGCCAGGCTCCTGGTCCGGGCTCCCCGTGGACCATAGGGCGGGGGCACTCGCGGCCATCCTCTGCTGTCCTCTGGGTCTGCTGGAAGCAGAGACCTGGGACTCATGACCTCCAACATGACGCATCACCAGCAGCAAGCTTGGGAAGGGTTGCCACCAAGGCAAGCTGCAGTGGAGGTGGCTCCCTGGGCATAGGGCTGCCCCACCCCATCTTCTGTCCTCAGCAACTCTGCCGGCACCCAGAGTCACTTGTTCAGTTCCCAGATGGCAGACTGACCCGGAACTCTGGGCAGCAGCCTGGGGAAACCCTCCCACGACACACACTGGCTGGGACACGTTTATTCTGTCTCCCAGCCTTCTCTCAAGTCAGCTTCATTAGCATGGATTTATTTGAGGCACCAAATCACCTACCTCTCCCATTGAGTCTTCTTGCCTGATGGGATTCCGGATGGTGTGTGTGTGTGTGTGTGTGTGTGTGTGTGTGACACACTGCTCAGGGCAACTGCCTTCCATTCACTCCCCAAGCTGTCAGAACGCCCCAGGACTTTCACTCTCAGGTCTACATTTGTGCAAAGTGTGTGCGTCATCGCATGCCCCCCACTCCGAATGGACACATGGGAAGGTTGGGCAGCTGCTCATTTCTTTTCAGAAACATTTAGATGGGTAAGGAGCTGGCGCCTTGGCTCTCTCTGAACATTCTCTGGTCTCCTTTCAGGCTGCACCTGATGCCGGAGGGCAAACACAACCTGCACTTGCGCTTTGCCACCGAATTTAACAAGTTAGCAGAAGACTTCCTGCGGTGACTCACCCGAGCCTCGGGCTCCTGGGTGTGGCGCCATCACAGCACATCGCTGTCCCTGTCAGCTCACCCATCTTCTGTCCCTTCCCCGCCACCTGACTCTGATCAAACTGAAGCCAAGATGACAGCCCCTCAATCACAAGGCTGCAAAAAATGAAAGCAGCGGTCTTTAACTTTTAACTCTCCTCTTTATTTCTTGCCGTAATTCACTTTGCAGTCGCCTTTCCGGCAGACAGCCTTAGGATGCCTGGATTTATCCTGTGCCTTTGGGGGAGAGATCAAGGGTCTCTTCTTTCCTATTGCATTTGTACAAGGTAGAGAAATAAAAGAATGGCTTCCTCGGGGCTAGATTTTACAGCCGCACGTGAGTGTGAGGGATGGCAGCAGGTAAGGGAAGGTTGGCTTCCTCAAGCATCCTTCCCCTCCTGGCTCACCTCTGAGATTTAAAACATTCCGATGCTGAAAATGAAGACATCTCACTTTTCATTGGTCGCTACTGAAGGCGAGGAAGGTACTAACTGAACTTGCTACCCACAAGTGTGCATGGCTGCGCTGATGCGGCCGAGAAGCCAGAGGCCTTCAGCTGGGAGAGCACGCACAGGTTAACACACATGCTTTATTAGTGTAGAGATCTCGGGAGACAATAATTAACTTGGAAAGGAACTGCACATTACATCAACAGTGTGAATTTGTGACAGAGGCAAAACTGAGCACCATTTTATACAAAGACCATGCGTGAGGACAAGAAACGCTCACTGACGGGCATGAGAGCTGCGAGGAGTCCTAGGCCTCGTCCTCACCCTCCTCCTCCTCGAACTCGCCCTGCTCGTCCGCCGTGGCGTCCTGGTACTGCTGGTACTCGGACACCAGGTCGTTCATGTTGCTCTCGGCCTCGGTGAACTCCATCTCGTCCATGCCCTCGCCCGTGTACCAGTGCAGGAAGGCCTTGCGCCGGAACATGGCCGTGAACTGCTCCGAGATGCGCTTGAACAGCTCCTGGATGGCCGTGCTGTTGCCGATGAAGGTGGCCGACATCTTGAGCCCCCGCGGCGGGATGTCGCACACGGCCGTCTTGACGTTGTTGGGGATCCACTCCACGAAGTAGCTGCTGTTCTTGTTCTGCACGTTCAGCATCTGCTCGTCCACCTCCTTCATGGACATGCGGCCGCGGAAGATGGCGGCCACGGTCAGGTAGCGGCCGTGGCGCGGGTCGCAGGCGGCCATCATGTTCTTGGAGTCGAACATCTGCTGGGTGAGCTCGGGCACGGTCAGCGCGCGGTACTGCTGGCTGCCCCGGCTGGTGAGGGGCGCGAAGCCCGGCATGAAGAAGTGCAGGCGCGGGAAGGGCACCATGTTCACGGCCAGTTTGCGCAGGTCAGCATTGAGCTGGCCGGGGAAGCGCAGGCAGGTGGTGACCCCGCTCATGGTGGCAGACACCAGGTGGTTGAGGTCCCCGTAGGTGGGTGTGGTCAGCTTGAGCGTGCGGAAGCAGATGTCATACAGGGCCTCATTGTCAATGGAGTAGGTCTCATCCGTGTTCTCCACCAGCTGGTGCACGGACAGCGTGGCGTTGTAGGGCTCCACCACGGTGTCGGACACCTTGGGCGAGGGCATGACGCTGAAGGTGTTCATGATGCGGTCGGGGTACTCTTCGCGGATCTTGCTGATGAGCAGGGTGCCCATGCCCGAGCCGGTGCCGCCTCCCAGCGAGTGGGTCAGCTGGAAGCCCTGGAGACAGTCACAGCTCTCCGACTCCTTCCGCACCACGTCCAGCACCGAGTCCACCAGCTCGGCCCCCTCTGTGTAGTGGCCTTTGGCCCAGTTGTTCCCGGCACCACTCTGGCCTGGGGAGGAAAAGGACAGTTCAGACACGGAAGGCTCACTCAGTTATGCCATGCTCATGAGGAGGAGGGCTAACCTAGAACATTCTTTGCATAGCCCACTAAACACCTAAACAAAAATATGCTAGTAATTATCAAAAACGTCAGAATAACATAAAATCTATATTTATATCCCAGTGACGCTATGAATTGGAAAAGACAGGACTAACAACTGATCCGTTCATTTTACACATTCCTATAACTGCCCAAACGAAGGCGCACCGCGAGCCGGGAGGGCAGGCACAGCATGATGACAGAGCAGGGCTAGGCAGTTCTAAAGCCATGTCCTAGCCTTCCGGCCCTGCCCCTTGGCAATGACCTGCAGCCCATTAAGCCCATCTCAAGTGCTGTCTGCCCTTTAGCCTTGCTTCAGAGGCTGCTGTGTCAGGGAGGCCCACCCAGCCCCCTGCAGGCTGGAGAGTGCCAGGCACAGGAGACCAGGCTGTCCACGGCCCAGCACTGAGCCCAGGAGTGGGTATGGTGGCTGGGAGCGGGCAAACCCTGCACCAGCACCCCTGCCCTGACCACTCACCAAACACGAAGTTGTCGGGCCTGAAGATCTGGCCGAAGGGTCCCGACCTCACCGAGTCCATGGTGCCAGGCTCCAGGTCCACCAGGATGGCCCGAGGTACGTATTTGTTGCCTGTGGGGGGAACGGGAGCTGACTTAGGCCTGTGCTGAACAAAGCAATCTTGAACTAGAGGCTTGTTCACCTGGCTTTCCCAGCAGAACTCAGATAACTGGCATTTGAGACAAAAGGGGAGATTTTCGGCTCCTAAGAAGCAGGAGACACTGATCATGCTCAGACTGGGCAAGGTGCCAGAGTCGTCAGGAGCTGGAAGACGCGTTGGTTATGGTGGGCATTGAAATGAAAATGCAAGAGGCACCCGCTGGCCACTTGCATGTTGCTGGCACAGTTCATGGCTTCTGCCTGCAGAGCAAGGTGGCTTTGGTGAGACCAGCCAGCACTCACCAGCAGCCTCATTGTAGTACACGTTGATGCGCTCCAGCTGCAAGTCACTGTCTCCATGGTAACTGCCAGTGGGGTCGATCCCGTGCTCATCGCTGATCACCTCCCAGAACTGCAATGACAGAGAATCGCGGCTTGGCACGGCCTCCTGGTGGTCTCCAAGGACGCTGGCCTTTCCTGCCTCCCGTGTCCTTGGAGCAGCAGCCATGGCCTGCAGCCTGCCTGCAGTCCCCACCTGCCTGCTGCAGAGGCGCTGGGAAATGCGCAGAGCATCACCTGTGCTACGTGACAGCTTGCAGGGCTGGGGGTGGGGCTGCTGGAGCATGGGGGGCTGCCGGCAGCTCTCCTGCTGGGGGAAGCTGTGCAGCTGAGGGCTCTGTACCCCAGGCAGGGTGGCTGAATGACACCCAGGCTGTGTCCTGGCAGCATCCTGCATCAGGCACCTGCCATCTCATGGCTCCCTGCAGAGATGGATGGCTCCTGGCACAGACCCCAAGCAGCTGTCCAGCAGTGCAGCTTTATGCCCCTGACCTACATCCTGGCCCCCAGGTATACTGACCAGGGCTGGGAGAGGGAGGGTGCCTGGCTGTGGGGGAAGGAGCTGGCCCTTGGGAAAGCGCAGTCTCCATTGTCAATCTGCAGCAGGAGAGGGGCGGGGAGGCTGGGGTGGGAAAGATGGCGGTTGTGAAAGAGCCCACGTCCTTGTGCAGGCTGCAGCCCACACCCATGCAGTGTGCCCACTGCTGCCTCCGTGCTGCGGTCAGGCACTACAACCTCCACTATGTGCATCACCTGACGCTCCCAGACGGACACAAGACTGCCACTTTACATGTCACCACGTCTATTAGGAGGGTTTTCCTAAAAACTCAGGTGGTCGTCACAAAGATGGCCCCGGGACGCCTCTGGTGCATATGTCAGCTCCCATGACACTGCAGTTTTTCACTAAAGGACAGACAGAAATGCACCATTTCTGCATTTCACAGCAGGCTCCCGGATCCAACCCAAGGGAACCGCCACCCCGCGGGGCTGTGCCCGGGGCTTCGGCAGGCCTCATTAAAGGCACACGCAATTGCAGCCGGACAGGTTACGCGGCTTTCCGGGTCACCTGGCTGCCGGACGCGCCCCTATAGGGCCCGGGGCCACCCAGCCTTCTTCCCCTCGTCGCCGACCCAGCCGGCAGGCACCCGCCCGCCCGTCCGCGCCGTCCGTCCCCCGACCTTGGCGCCGATCTGGTTGCCGCACTGGCCCGCCTGGATGTGCACGATCTCACGCATGGTGCCGGCTGCGGGAGCGGAGGAGCTTCTGGCCCTTGCAGTTGTATGCACGATTCGTAGACTGGCGAGCTGGTGGGCAGCGCGGAAAGCGGGCGCCTCCCCGCCCGCTCCGACTTTTATCCTTGGGCACCGCCCGGCCTCGGTGGCGTCATGTGGGGCGGTGCGCGCCGGCGCACCCGGGACTGCGGCACCGCGAGGGGGAGCCGGGGCGCGGTGCGAGGTGCAGGGGCGTCCCAGGCCTCGGCTCTAGAAATGTGGGTGCTCTGAGCCCAGATGTGTTCGTAGCTGCGAAATACACCCGAGATTCCATCAACTTACTCAAGATAAAAAATACATAACGTGAAGTGGGCCCTTAACTAATTCTCGATGTTGACTAGGTATCCAAATGATAAGGTTTGGGCTTATACACCATTAATCAAATATTTTTTTAAAAGATTTATTTATTTTTATTGGAAAGTCATAGATACAGAGAGGAGGAGAGATCTTCCATCCACTGTTTCAAAGGCTGCCACAGCTCCAGCAGGGTGTCCTAAGCCAGGAGCCAGGAGGAGTTTCCTCCAGGTCTCCCACGTGAGTGCAGGGTCCCAAGGCTTTGGGCTGTCCTCGACTGCTTTCCCAGGCCACAAGCAGGGAGCTGGATGGGAAGTGGAGCAGCTGGAACTGGAACCAGCGTCCAAACGAGATGTCGGCAACGCAGGTTGAGGCTTAATCTACTGATCTCACATCTTTTAACTTTTCAGAACTAGGAGACTACTAGTACAATCTGAGATGATCCCTGTGGCCTGCATCCCCCCACGAGCCTGCTGTGTTGTACAATGGGCAGTATTTTCCACCCCCATCTCACAAACCAAAGGATGCGGCTAGCCACAGAGCTGGAAAGCCAAGGAGTCTAGATCTTCACACAAGCGGGAGGCCCAGGTGAGTGGCAAGGCTTGGGCAAAACCATCCCTAATTACTATCAAAGCTGATCCCGACCAGGGCCTGGGAGAACAGGGGCCGCCACCCTTTCCTTGCTGGGCCAGCTTCTCTATGTCTAAAACGATGCTAAT